TGATGAGCCATTCTGGTTATTTGACTGCCCTGCAGAATTGAGGATTTGGGATTTTTTTGCTTTATTCTTCTCTTGCTGATTGCTGTTGTAATCAGGCTGATGCACCCGTTCTGCAGGAGAATTCAGTCTGTTCTTGCAAAATCAGTCTGTTCTTCCTGCAAAATCTATTTTTGTTTTTTTACTTTCTATGCAGAATAAGACTTACTGCAGCATTAGTGGGTATCTAACAGCCAACACATCTTCCTTTTTTTGTTTGGTTGAGCTGTTTCTATTTCATATGCTGCAGAAGATAAGGTGGATGTTTTTTTAAGAGGGATAAATATTTCCATTTGCTGCAGGAATGTGCAGCAAGATGAGTCAGTTGTTATGAACTTCAGTCATAAACATTAGTAGTTTTACAGTTGGGAAGTGAGAGCAGACCTACTTACTCAGATTTTTTGGGGATACTTGTTTTCATAGCGACCTAAGATCAGAAACTTGGAAAAACTCTGTGGTAGTTGTAGGGTTGCACTGTGAATACTGGGAATGCCATAAATGGTGGGACAGGGAGTCCCCTTGCTGGGTCGTTCATGTGTGCCGTGGTCAGCCCTCTCCTGGGAATATGGCCCCATCAGTCTGCTGGATTTTGGGAAGCGAATGACACTGATGTTATCAGTGGTATTGCTTTGGACTCAGGTTCATCCTGCTTAGGTCGAGGTTTCAGTCCCCTCAGTGAGAGGCCCCTCTGGGAGGTGGGTGTTAGATGCCAAATCACCCTTGGGCAGATCCCACCCTCTCGTCACTGCATGGAAAACTTCTGAGAACCGCCAACTCCTCTGGCACATGCCCGTTTCAGTGGGGTGATGCCAGCCCTGGCACCCTTGAGTTGTGGCCAAGGATCGCAGCCACTTGTGCTGGATGGTGCACAACAAAGTTGGGCCTCACAGGCTTTTCCGATACAGCATGTGCTCCAGACCTTCATGTGAGTGATGCCCCTTGGTCACAGTCTATTGCTGTGCATAAACCTCTAATCTGAGATCAGTGGGATGTGGTCTGTTGCATCAGGACCAGAGTGTGCATGTCAGTGTGAGCCCGGTGGTGCCATGGTGGGGATGGAGTGGGGCGAGTGCCTGACTTGGTCCACTGGTGGATGAATCTCAGTTGCATCCCAAAGCAGTACCCCCTGTGCTGCAGCAACTGAGACCAGCAAATGCTGAGTTCAGACCTCAGACAGCTTTGTTTTAAATTAATGTGAAATACTTTAGCTCAAGCTGTTTCAGTTCTAGATTATTTAGGGTTTTTAAAATGTTTTTATTGCCCATTTGAAACAGAACAGCTTGCAAGTGTCCTGCAGGGGAACTTTTTTAGATTTTTTTTTTCTTCTTTTTTTCTCCCCCCCGCCCCCATAAATTCTTCCCTCAATTTTTCTTTTTCCACTGGGACATTTTGGGTCAGGTTTGGTGGAAGGAGCCCGCCAGCCTGGCACAGTGCTGCTCCGGTACTGCCCTGCTCACATATGCGAGGCCAAGCAGAGAAGCACTCCCTGCCCCAGCCCTGCAGTAAGGCAAGGCTTAGGTAAGGATGAGTACTAATGACTACTCGGCTTTGGAGCACGGGGGAGTGCTGTGTGGATGGAGGCAGTTGATGGAGGTAGGCAATGAATGTGTTGCAGCTGCACTGTGACTCAGTGCCTCGCTCTGCCTGGTTGGTGTTATCCGTGCAGAATCCCTACCTGGAGCAGTCCTGAGTAGGATGTGGCTGGGTACTTTGATTTTACTAACCTTGTGCCCTAGCCTTGGACTGAAGTTGAAAGCTGTTCAGATCTTTAGAGAGCTTCAGGTTTGCTTTCTTGGGGGACTGCTGGCCTTCTTGATGCCGGAGGAAGGTTGTGTGTTTCCTTTTGGGTTGCTACCCTTGTGACCCTCCTAACTGGTGCTGTGGGCGCTGGTATGGCACAATTGGTGCAGTTGTGAACGAGCCGGGTATTGCTTGCATCCTGAGGAGCAAGTAGCTGGAGCCAACTGGATGGTGACATGTGTATCTCTCTCTTTCTCTCATGGTCTTTGCTCCTCTGCCCAGTACGATGTGCTCACTGGGCTTGCTGGCCCTGCACAGCTGCATGTGGCGGTCTCATGCTGCTGTCTGGTGGTACCCATTCAGCCCCCGGTGGCCGTGACATGGTGACATTCAGAGCCCTTCCCATCGCCAGGTCTCTGGGCCTGTGTCCATCTGCTGGGGGTTTTAAATGTGGTTGGGAATCACTGGAGAGTGACTCATTCAGTGTCGTCTTTGGCCGTAGGAATGACAACAAGTACACTCTTGCCAGTGTTCATGGCCAAGGGCTTTTCTTTGCTCAGACACTGCTATTTATCTTGCTTTATGAGAGGCTTATAGTTACTGTGGAGAGGCCAAGATTAAGCTTGCTCAGGGATAGATTGACCAAGTGAGAGGCATTTCCTTGCGGAGCAGTGAATCAGCTCCCTGTGCTGGTTGAGCACAGCAGGACCATGACAGTTGTTATTCCTTTTCCTGGGAAAAAGCAGGGGAAGGGAGTGAGCAAAATCTGTGCAACCACGTCCTCACTTGTGGTAATGCTCACTGCTTCAGCTTACAGCCCTCACTGTCCTCTCCCTGCCCTGCCCCAGGACAGGGGGTGGCTGCCATGTCAGAGTCACCCAAACCAAAGAGTTTGGCTTTGGTTTCTAACTGCAGTCGTTTTCCCTTCTTCTCCCCATTGGTAATTTTGTCATCGCAGCTGACCCCTCCACTGGCTTGTAATTCCTCCCTGCGTCATCCCGCGGTCGTTGCTCCAAGGCACAGGCACAAGCAGAGGTGATGGTGAGGCTTGTCCTGGCAGGGATGTGGACTCAAGGGCCAGCTGGGAGCCGAGCAGCCCCGGTTAGCCTGATGCTGAGCGGGCTGTTGGTTTGCTGAATCTCTTGTCTGTGTAGGGAGGAGAGAGAAGGGAAGGGAGAGGAGACTAATAGGAAAGAAGGTTTTACCCAGGTTTGTGTTCCCCAGGGCTGTTTGGCTGCAGTGAGCCAGGCTTGTGTGCAAAGCATGGGTCTCGCCCGCATGCTTCCCTCCTGCACGAGTTTGCTGCCTCTGTGCCAGGTCCTGGTGAGGGGACAGCCACCACCCGAGCTGGGGCGCTGGGAGGCCTGGAGCCATGCTGCTACGCCCCTTTGCTTGGGTCCTTCCCTTCTCCCATGATGGTGCTGTGTGCTAACAGCCTGTTGAGCACGCAGCGGCAAACCATGTGCCAGGGACGGGAGCAAGTTATAGTGGTGTAACTAATAACCAAGACCCCCTGCTTTGTGCTTTAAATCTTTTGTGATGGTAAGTTCAGTAAAGATGCAGAGGAGCCAGCCATTAATTGCTTGTGTTTTGCTGCGTAAAATTAAGCTTATTTTATTTGCATTGCCATATAGTTCACCCAGTGCTATCATCAGTGCCTTTTAAATTTTAAGCTTAAACCCATTCAAGCTTCCCCCTCTATCCAAGCACCTCCTGAAACTTTGAAATCCCAAGACTTCCACCTTCAGCACAGGTTTCCCTGTAGAGAGCTCTCTTAGTCCCACTTGGAGCATGAGGGTGGACTGCGGATCTCCAGAGGTGGCTTCCAACCAGCACTTCAGCGGTTCAATGAACTCAAAGGTTCTCTCTGCAGCAAAGCGATGGCAGGGCTGCATAACTGGCTTCCTTCAGTGTGCCTGAGTGGGCATTACCAGCCTTTTTGAAGGGGTATATTTAGGCAGAAATATTGTGTTACTGCTGTGGTGGGACTGAAACTTGTAAGCATGGGGAAGTCAATAGGATTACCACAGTGTCATGGATGATTTATGTCTGTTTTTATTGCTGAAAGCTAGAGTTTTGAACGGAATTAAAACCAAGCCAGGTTGTTAGAGCAGCAATTAGCAGCAATTTTCCCTCTCTTGCTTATTTAAACAGCCAATTATTTAAAGGTGAGCATAAAACCAATCCCATTTTCCTTCTAATTCAGTATCTTTGGTCCCTGTGTCTTTCAGTCAAGTCAGGAATTTTTTAGTCCCAGGTGTGGTTAAAGTTGGGTGTTTGTCTTCTCCTTGGAGGTTGGGGTGAGGCATGGGCTATCCTGGACTGTGGGGAGCAGTGGCAGGCTCGGCAAGGTAGGTTGCAAAAAGCTCTGATAGCTACCGTACAGCAGCAGAGCTGTGGCTTTTGACCTGGGCAGTCCCAGAGCTCACTGCATTCCTGGAGGAATGCAAAGTGTTCCATAAGGAAAAATCTTTCTCATGGTTGTCAGTCATTACTGTGATGCTGGCTTGAGAAAAGGCAGAGAACAAAGACTGTGAATGAGCTGGGTGTTTATTATGTGGTCTGTTTCTTCCCCAAGGTCTGGACTTACCTGGTTTGTTGGGAGAAATGATATTGTTTTTAATTAGATTGTGGGAGTTGTGGCTTCTGCAGGCTTGGCTGTGTTATTTAGTCCTGACTGCAGCTGAACAGAAGCTGGAACACAAATACAGCTAGTTGATAAAGGCAGATTCCAGAAGTGCCAATGCTTTGCTGAAGATGACAAGACTTCACTTCTTTGGGATGTAGAAATGTTGGTGATAAGGGATCTCAGGAGGTCTCTAGTCCAACCCCTATTTGGAACAGGACCATACCCAGCCCTAGGTCAGGTCAGCTACGGCATTATCAAAGTAAGCCTTGAAAACCTTAAGGAACATCCCCCACCTCTCTGGATATCTTTTCCAGTGCTGCACCACCTTCCTGGTAGAGTTTTTATCCTAATATCCAGTTTGAACCTTCTAAGCTGCAACTCATGGCTGTTCCTGTTGTTACACCATCTGCTGCTTTAGTTGAGGAAACTGCTGCATCAAAGAGCTGAAATTAATTTTTTCATATTGCGTGCAGCATCATATTTCTCTCTGAGCTGCCAGCAGTGGGCATTGAACTGGCAGCTTCTGGCTGTTGCCTAAGCTCTGCAGAAAGGCTCAGGAGAAGAGCATGCGGTGTTGATTGCTTTTGTGATTCTTATGTTCCCTTGGGGTTCTTTCTCCTGTTCAGGCTTGCATCAGATCTCGCAGAACAAGGTGGCAGTGTTGCTCCTGGCTGGAGGACAAGGAACTCGCCTGGGAGTGAGCTATCCCAAGGGCATGTACAACGTGGGGTTGCCTAGTGGCAAGACCTTGTATCAGATCCAAGCAGAAAGAATCCGCAAAGTGGAGCAGCTCGCTGGCCAGAGACACCACTGCAAGTGTGCTATCCCCTGGTAGGTGATTTGGAGCCACAGACCTGCTGTGCAGGGGTCTTTGCGTTGCAGTCTTGTCTACATTGTATTCTAGAAGCACTTTGCTGGGTGCTATGGAGACACGTCAAGGGAGAGCCTTTTGTCAGCAGGATTTGTGATGCCAGCAGCAGGAGGAGGGTGCACAGGGACAGGAAGTGGCAGGTCTGTGTCTGCAGACCTGAGGGACTGAGCACTGCACTTGAATCACTGGCTGCTACCCTAACTGCTGTACCATGCTGTCTTTTCAAGCATAGTCCCTGACAACACTGTAAACAACACTTTTCAGTGCCTGTTTCAGATGCTTCACAAGAGATTTTATCTGTTTGTGCTGTGCTTTCTCAGGTTCCTGCATGGAGGGAGAGATTGCCTAGACCTCACCTTCCAAGACCCTCTGCCTCCCCTTGCCCGCAATTTCTGCCACAGCAAAAAAACTCTTCCCCTTGCAGTAGTAAATGCTTGTCATGCTCCATTTTCAGGCCACCTCCTGCTGTAGTTGTTTACAGCTGGCTGCTCTCTCTCCTGGCTGCTCCTAGCTTTCAAAAGGCTTCAAAAGAGACTAGCTCTGTGCAAGGAGCAAAATATGGATTCACTATGGGATGTGGTGGGTGAGAGAGGGGAAGGCGCTGCAGCATGCTTCTGGGAATGTTTTCTGCTAAGTGTTCTTCATTAGATCTAGGAAGAGATACCTTTACGAAACCACTGTCTGGTCTAAGCCAGGGTTTGGGAAGAGTGAAGGAGCAGGTGTCCGAGGTCTTCAGAAAACAAGCACATAATTTTACAGATTGGAGATCAAAGGTGATTCGAGTCTGTATAGTGTTTCTTTCTGAAGCCATGCATGCCTGACCTGAACTGCAAATGCCCCATCCCTGGTGTTGCTGGAAGCCAGGATGGATTATTTGCAGGATGCAGCATCTGCTGATAATGTTTACAGTTCCTCTCCCTGGGTTGAGGATGCAGTTGGCTGCTGCAGTACACCAGGGGCTAGGCTATGCTGTGCTGCAAAGATATAAGTTGGGGGGTGTGTGAGGTCCAGTCTCTCTTGTGCAAGGGATTGATTCCCCTGGCATGCTGGCAGAGGACCCTGTATGTACGTGCCCTGTATGGCAATAGCTGTTGGAGAAGTGCTTGACAGGTAGATGATGAAGATGGCTTTTAGCTATTGTTGAAGGAAGAAATATAGTGACGGGAGGGACAGCAGCAATGTGGAGCTGGAAGGAGAGGAGGGAAACAGAGAAACTTAAGAGAAGAACAAATCATGCAGCCAACATTTGAAAATGCTGCTGTTCGCCTTGGCACAGAACAGGTGCTGGCAGACTGAGCTGCTGGGTATTCGCAGCTCATTCTCAGCACCTTGTGCTGGTCAGTGCTTCTTTAAACACTTAATGTCAGTTTGAATCTAGGGTGAATGAGGCTGTTGTACTGTCCTTTGCCTTACTTTCCAGCTCATCTGAATATCCAGATGTTGTTCACATTTAGGGAAAGGCTTTTCTGTCCTGGCTGGAGCTAAGCCTGTGGGGAGTATCATGCACAAGACCCTGTGCAGCCTTCCTGTGGGATGAGTTCTGGAGGAGAGCTCTCCTGCTCAGTTGCATACTGCAGGATACTGTAGTGTCTCTCACTTAACACTCTTGGGTTTCCTCGCTTCTGTGTTCCATTTGTAGTTTTGTCTTTCGCTTGTGCTTTTCTTGCTCATTGCTCAGCACCCATTCCTACACAGGTACATCATGACAAGTGAGTTCACGCTGGGGCCGACAGAGGAGTTCTTTGTAGAACACGACTACTTCAACCTGGACAGATCCAATGTGGTCATGTTTGAACAGAGAATGCTGCCTGCTGTCACCTTTGATGGGAAGGCCATCTTGGAGGAGAAGGGGAAAATTGCTATGGCTCCAGGTATCCTGCTGTTCACTCTTACATGGTACAGTAACATAATATGTGTTGATAATTGATTGCTACTAGCCATCAGCCAGCCTTGGCACACGGAGCAGTCTTTGGAGGTGAGTGTTAATGCTTCTGATTAGTATGGGAGGGTTCAGTTAAATGTTTCAGTGTGGTAATCAAGAGTGGAGCAATCTCTGTTTAGTTCTTGCTGGAGATTTGCCCACAGCATGTGGTTTTTGTCTAAGCCTGGGAGGATTGGCAGGATTAGGAGTGGTACGCTTCAGGTCAGGAACAACATGTGTTGGCAAGGCTGCATGTGAGGTCCTTGGGGTGCTGCCTCCCAGGGGTGAAGCTGTCAGGAGCTGGGCTCCCATTCAAGGCTGACAGCTGGAAATGGGTGAAAAAGCAGCAAGAAGATTAACTCTTTCCAAAATGATTGCAATGTCTTACCTAGTAAAGTTCTCCTCTTAACCTGGACATGGTAAGAGACTCTGTGGAGGCAGCCTGGTCAGGGCCATATTGCAGTGATGCGGTTTTGCGGCTGCGGAGTGGTTTTCCTGAGCTGACAGGGGTGTCAAAGCAGGAACCATGAAAGGGTGATCTGTGATGAACAAATGTGCAGGTGTCTTTTGTGCAGCTGCAGTTCAAGCCTTTAAAAAGGCTTTGGGAAGTTGTGGGGGGAGGATAAACTGAGAATAAGATTTATTTTGGTCTTTTTCTCTAAGCTGAGTTTTAAATGTTTTTGCTCTGCACTGGAAGAGAAGAAATGTAACAGGCTTTTCCCACCCTCTGCATAATGTTTTGTCCTTTAGTGTTTTCCTTTTGAGGATCTTACAAGGCTTCATAAAGTCTTGTAACGCTTCTCTGTGAGGCTGGTCCCTGTGGTCCCACTCTGCAGGTGAGGGAGGTGGGCTGTGGAGGCAAACAGGCTTGCCTGAACTGTGTGGCAGGTCTGGAAATAAAATCTGGTAGCACTGACTCTTGGCTAGAAAGCATTCCCTGCTCTGCTGTTAAAGAAAGTTTGTTCAGGACTTTCAGCTTTTGCTCTGTTAGCTGCAAAAACCCCACTAATTAACCATGGTTCTGTCTTTTCTCTTGCATTATAGATGGCAATGGTGGCTTATATCGAGCTTTGGTGGATAACAAGGTCTTGGATGACATGAAGCAGCGTGGAATCCAGTATGTCCATGTATACTGTGTGGACAATATCCTCGTGAAAATGGCAGATCCAGTCTTCATAGGCTTCTGTGTTTCCAAAGGGGCAGATTGCGGTGCAAAGGTGAGGTGGCAGTAACACTAGGCCATTTCTCCACAGGGAGTTAAGGTCTGATTATGCTCAGAAGCTGCTGGCTAGGGTGAGCTTAGACGAACCAGAGTGTTCAGACCTCTCTCCAACAGCGGCTCGCTGCAAGCAGATTTAGAGGAGCTGCTTGGTGCCTGCATTGCATTCAGAATCCCTACCTGTGGGTGTCCTCCTCCACTCGTCCCAGAGTACTGTGGAAAATAAACTTCAATTAGAGCAGGGGCTGTAACTGCACAGGAAACCACAAGCTGGAATTGCTTCCCCTTTATGCCCTGCCTTTTCTACAAAGGCACTTGGGCTATCTAGAAGCCATATTGGACTGGGTTATGTTTTATAAATGCACCTTTAAGTCTAATGGAGGCATTTTTTCTTCCTCACTGGGGAAGATGGGGAAAGCCAAACCAGCCTGGTTTTGTCACCCTAAACCAGCAGGTGCCTGAGGAGAGATTTATATTACTTTAATCATTAACGCTGTTCATGTGAACAGGGAGCTGAAGGCTAAAGCTGCAAATGTTTTTTCATTTAATGCCAGGTCCCAGTCCTTGATAGGAAAAGTGCCCCGCAGTATGCCGATTTCTTTTAACTGGTTTGTCTTCTGAGCAACTGCACAATTAAGCGGTCAAGTACTGTTTTTTTTTGCCTGGTTTTTGGGCAAAATGTGCCTCTACCCAGCAGTGCCTGGCCTGTGCTCCTGAGGTGCTGGAAGATCAGCACGCAACAGTCCTGTAGGATCGTTTGTATGTGGGAGTTGGGATAGTGCTGGGATTTTCTTCCTTTTTATCAGAGCACTCTGTCCTGTGGCTGCAGGTAGTGGAGAAGGCCTACCCCACAGAGCCTGTTGGGGTGGTGTGCTGTGTGGATGGGGTCTACCAGGTGGTGGAGTACAGTGAGATCAGCCTGGAGACTGCGCAGCAGCAGAGCCCTGATGGGGGACTGATGTACAGCACTGGCAATATCTGCAACCATTTCTTCACAGTTGAGTTCCTGGAGATGGTGGCCCAGTAAGTTCCAGCAGACCTGCTAGGCAGCTGTGCAGCCCAGAAATGCCTCCAAGAGTGGGTGTTCCTGTTTCCTACTCTGTAATTTCAGTTATGGGTACCTCCTGCTCTGCTCTTCACTTCCTCTCTCCTTCGAGCAGTTCAAAACAGCTGTGTCCGCTTTCTGACAGCCCCAGTGTGCTCTTTGGGCCTTACCCGGTGAAGAGGCTGTATGCTTTGCTGTAGCTAAATCGATGAAGATATAGCAGTGCATGATCTTCCTGGGCCTGCAAGGGTGAGCAGCCACGTGGGCTGCAGTGTGGTCAGTGATGTGGTTGGTGATGCAGCCCCACACTGAGGATTTTCAGTGGGAATGTCACCCATGCCATCCCTTCGGACAACAGAGGTTGGGGGAGAGGGTGGAGCCTGGGGAAGACCCTGCTCCTTGGTGTTGGGAGATGGGATGTGATGCTGGGCATTCAGTGAGCAGCTGTACGACCTTCCTGAAGAGCTTGATCCTTCCTTGTGTGAGGGATCTGCTCTGCTCCATTGTCATCCTGGTCAGATAACAATTTCTGTTACCTTTTTTTATCTCTGCCTGCAATTTCAGTTTAACACTAGGTCCTCCCTCTTCCTCTTGGTTTACATTGTCATGTCCTACTGGTACAGGGAGTGCTGCTGGCTGGGCTGCTCTGCTTAGTGAAGTGTTTCCTGGATGTGACTTGGATCAATTTGGAGAGGGCAACACCCACAACAGTTGAGAGATGACCCAGAGCAGTAATAAGCCATCTGCTTCCCAGAAGTGTACTACTTTTTAATAAGTGCATATGAAATAAGTGAACTTGTTTCTTCTCCTTTTGCAGGAAATATGAGCCGCAGCTGAGGCATCATGTAGCCATAAAGAAGGTGCCCTACATTGACGAGGAGGGAAATCTGGTAAAACCGCTAAAACCGAACGGGATAAAGCTGGAGAAGTTTGTGTTTGATGTGTTCCAGTTCTCTAAGTTAGTGGCAGACATGATTTAATTTTTTTCCTCCCCTTCTCAATGTTTGTTTGAATGACTGTAGGTTGTAACAGGCATTGCCAGGGAGCACGTGGTTTATGGGTGGCTTGTTAGAAAGGCTGTTGGATCTTCACCAAGCTCTAACACAAAAGTAACACTGCAGGCTCCGAGAGGTGTGGTCACAGGGTGCTCCGCAGCAACCAGACTTGCTCTGACTGTGCTCCCAGAGCTGTTCATCCTGCTGAAGATGTGTTGGCTGGCCTGGCCACTGCCAGCCCTGTGAAAGAAAGAAAAAAAGGAAGTCGAGCACAAAGCCAGCATTTAATACAAGCCCATGTTGGAGTATTCAGACATGCAAAAACAGGGTCTTTCAGAATTGTGGCTTCCATGGCAACTGCAGCTCTGGTTACATTTTTGGTGCATTTTAGCCAGGGCTCCGCTCACATCCTTTGTGCAGGTTGCAACGGGTTGCTTAAGCACCATGGGGCCAGGTTACTGTTGCTGTGGGAACTGTCAGTGTTGACTTGCCAAGCTCTAAAACATAGCTGAGAGCGCTGTGCCATAGTGTTAGCCCAGTCAAGGGTACTTTGTGTTTAGGGAATGTGGGATTTTAATAATTTAGGAATTTAGCATAAGTGTTCTTATAAAATCTATTTTCTGAGGTCTTGAATTCAGCAGTAAAGATTCTGGTTTAGCCTTAAATAAATGGCAAAAAGAGACCTCAGGCAAACTGAATTGACTTTGGAGATAGTACTTTTCTTTTTAGAGGATTTACTTTAGGATAGAGAGCTCAAGGTTTGAACCGTTCTCCATTTCCTGACATGCATTCAGTAAAGAAATATCATACTAAAGGCAAAACCAGTGTGATGGAAACAGTGCTGACTTCTGAGCTTTGAAAGGACTCATTTGCAAGCAGTGATTCCTTGTGCTTTTTTAGTAATACTGCAAAAACAGCTTGGCAGCTGCTCTTCACCTGTGAAATGCAGAACCACACAGATGCTGCTGTGGGATTTTTTAATTTGCATTCCCATTTCTGGTAAACAGCTGTACCTAACATTCCGCTGCGAATCCTCCCATATTGCTTGTTTATCCCTGGGAACTGGTGTCCTCAGTTGATCTTTGCCTACGGACTCCCAGGTGGAGTGGCCATTTCTTGGAGCCAGGGTGCTCTGAATTGAGGCACACAGGTTGGCGCTGTGTTTGAGCTCTCCATCCTGCCATGCTCTTAGCTGAGATTTTTTGTCCACAAGCCTCTCAGTGCCTGGAGAGGTTTCTGTGGGATCTCTGCAGAACTATTGCTTTTCCTCACCTGTGCACAGCTGTGGAGGGTTGTGAGGCTGCTGTTATGTTCCCAAAGAGACTGGGCTTCTTGTATTTTTCCATTATATAGCCCTGGTACTTCTTTGCTCTTCAGATGGGAGGTGGGCTTTCCTTAGCTTGACTGCCTCAGGCTGCATACATCACTGTTCCCTAAAACATATATGAGCCTTTACCCATGAAAGCTGTTGTTGCATCAACAGGGCTGATGGCTAGCTTTGTTTTTCATTCTCATTGTTTTCTCCTCTTTGCTGGTAGGAATTTTGTGGCGTTTGAAGTTTTGAGAGAAGAGGAGTTCTCGCCACTAAAAAATGCAGACACAGCTGACAAAGACACTCCTACCACTGCTCGGCAAGCCCTCCTGGCCCAGCATTACCGCTGGGCTCTCAAGGCTGGGGCCAGATTTCTGGATGAAAATGGTTGCAGGATACCAGAGAAACTCAGGTATGAACCTCTGTGACCTTCTCTACAGCTTCTCTGCCTGTGGCTGCCCAACCATGCCAGCTGGCTAGTGGCATGTACTGTGCTCTACAGAACTGGGCATTAGTTTGATCACAGAGTGACTTGGCATGATTGTCGTTCAGCTGTTGTTTTCTGAACATGCAGAGTAATGTCTATTACAGCTCCTGCTCCATTGGTGATTGTGAGTGCACAGTGCTCTGAGATTCCTGCCCTGGGGGTCATGAGTTGACTCCTCCTATAGCAACTCACTAGGCAGGGGCGACCTTTTCCATCATTCTGGATTTAGCCAGCCCAAGGAATTGTAATTTGTAGTACTCAGCAGCTTTTCTGAATACAGCCCCAGTGCTTAAAGCCCAGCAAGATTCTCGGGTGGGATTAAGGATCAGCTGTTATAGCAATTACCAATTCAGATACTCTTGCATCATGCTGAATGGGAAGCTGCTTTTCCTCCATGGGGCTATTACTTCATCAACTCATAGTTTAATAAACCCACAAGCTGTTCATTTTACTTGAAAAGCATCTCTATAAAAGTGATGTTCTTGTTTTGATGAGAAATATTTAGGACCTGCTAATTCCCTTTTATTTTCACACTTTGTGTTCGAATAACGTCTGGTGCATGTGAATGTAACAAATGTCTTATCCTTCTGGATATCCTGTTCTTGATCTTTCGAAGAAGATACACTGTTTTTTAAGCATAGCAGGAAGTTAATCCTGTGTTCTCTTCTCTAGTCTCTCAGGAACTGAAGATCCTCCGGCTCTGTGTGAGATTTCTCCATTAGTGTCTTACTTTGGAGAGGTGAGAGTAACTATCAATGCAGGTATTTTTAAGAGTGCAGGTATGCATCTGATTTTCTTCCAAACACGGGGGATGTCTTTAGCCTAGGCTTGCTGAGAAATGGTAAGATCAACAGAACTAGGATTTGGGCTCTGTGTTACATTCGTGGTTCTGCTATGGTTTATTCTTCAGCAGTTTGTTCACTCTCAGTTTTAGCCATCTGTAAAATGACATTTGCAGTGAGGCTGCACAGTTTCATTATGACTCACAAGTTCTTTGAGATCTTCTGAATGAAAAGCGCAGAATATTCAAATTACAGAATCCATGGGGTCACTGTATTCAGCTATGTGCTAATTTGTGCCCGTCTCCCACAGTGAGTGAATACTGAATGGGAAGTGTGATATGTGCATTGGCTTTAGAGAAACCACATATTAGTTTTCTTAAGTTTGTCCATCTGAAAATAATTGGTCCTGGGAAAGCTGCTTCCATTTAGTAGTGAGAAGAGGAGCTTCCCTGTGTTGGACATACAGGGTGAGAAATAGTGGATTGCAGGAGGATATCTGGGCCCTGTGGGGAAGGGCATTCATAAGACTTGACATCTTTGCTAGGTTTCCATGTGCAGATAGTGAACTTATTGCAATCGATGCATTATAAGAACAAAATGAAAACAAGGCAATTTAAGTTGACTTTTCTTTGCTAGGGTTATTCTAATGTGAGTTAAGGATACATCTTCCCATGCCTGCCCCCCCCCAGGAAGCTTGTTTCTGAGATCCATTGTTTTACAGTTCATCGTTGCTTCTCCTTCATGAACCCCAGGCTTGGGGCTGAAATGCTTTTCATCTCTGTCACTGGAGAAACTATTGCTGTTGTCTGTCCTTCCCATGACCTTTTAACTTTGGGTAGTCAGTGGTTCATTGAGGACATTAAGTAGACTTAAAAATAGTGCGGGTAACCAGTCTGACGCATTTACAACCTAACAGTGCTATTTTCACATGTTCTCAGGGCCTGGAGGCGTACATGAAGAACAAAGACTTCCCTTCTCCCTTTGTGCTCGATGAAAACAAAGCAGAAATGTTAGGAAATTCTTGAAGAGGAGGGAGGCCTTTCCTCCTCAAATCATATCTAAGAACTGACATTACTAAAATGTCAGCTATGAAGTGTGTTATAAAAAAATTGCTTTGCAGTATCAGATCAATGCGAAATCCTTGTAGCAGTTGTGTTTACACACATGTGTATGCTCACCAGTTCTGTTTGGTAACTATGAAGGCTATGCCTTTTACCTCAGTCTGTTTTGTAGACTTGGATGTGAATGAAGATTAATACCTTCCGGGTACCAAACAGATCTTCTATTTCTTATTTGCTGTGCATACTAATATGTCGAAGAGCCAGTCAGGGCCTAATAAATCAGATTTGCATTCAAGAAGATTAAATCTCTTCAGTGCCTTGTTAGGTATCTTGTTTGTGCTGGTGGGGTTGGTTGGGGTTTTTTTGGTTTTGTTTTTAAATTGTGTGAACAGCTTAAGAATCAGTTTGATCATCTTTTCCCTAATCTTGTGCTGGTTAGAAGATCCAATTCAGCAATTGCATCCTCTAACCAGATCATACAGAGGAGTCTGCTGTAGGTAGGGATGCTGCTGTGCATAAGCATTGCTTGAGGTTTGGACTCCAAAGCAGAACAGACTAGTTTGCATATCTAGGCTTGCTGGTGCCATTCCAAGAAAACATAAGTAAATATGCAGCTTAGACTGATTGCTTTTTACAGCTGTAGTGACCTGGGTTTTTTTAATTAAAAAGAAGATGAGAAATTTTTTCACGACAACACTCTGCTCTTCTTGTCTATAACAGACATTTATTTTACTTTTCATTTTTCTGTTTAATGTATACCATATCCCTCAAAGGGGACTCCTTTAAAGTACCTGAAAGTAATAAGACTAACAAATCCTGATGGTAGAATTTAATGCTTAACCAAAACTAAAAAAAAGACTTAATCCCAGCATAACCAGTGTACACAGTACAACCCCAGCCTCTGCTTCTACAGTTTCTGGCCAGGTAGTTTTCCAGCACTCTTTCACTTATGAAATAATTCTTTAGATGCCTTCCTTTTAAATATATTACTAAACGTAATGTAAAGTGTCAGCTAATTAAGGATGCTAATTGCCAAAACATATGTAGCATGTGAACTCAGCCCTGGCTGAGGGAACCCAGGGTGGCCGTGATCCATTAATGATTGTTTCTGTTCAGCCTTTGGACACTGCCCCGGCAAGCTCGTGCCAGGCGGGCACCTACCTGCTGCAGAACCTGTGCTGAACACACCACAGTTGTTTCACCCTTTGTGAGGATGCTTCAGGTGCACTGCTGGGTGGCCTTTGCTTGAGGAGCACTCTATACATTTTCCCCAAATCAGGTGTTAAGGAAGGTGGTGAGGGAGATGCCTCATCTGGAATGTTATTTCATGCATTTGCTTCTACTGCTGATGCTATTTTATTAAGCATAAATCTTTTAAATAACTTAAGTGGCTTTCTGTAATTCCTGATTTGAAGCTGGCTATTCAGAATGTTGGGGAAGTATAAAAATGGCTTTGAGAGTAAATACAGTTTGTAAGTAGGCTCATGTTTTCCAAAGAAAGCATCTAAATGTCAATGGCAGAGTTTTCAGGTATGAAGTGTATCTGCATGCTTTAAGTAATGAGCCTTTTGCATGTGCAAACCAGCTAATGACAGGTCTGATTACCTCAGTTTGCATATGCAGCCAGTAATTCCCATTTTTAGTATAAATGAAGCATTTGTCCTTTACCCTATTCATGTTTTTTTTTTTTTTTTTTTTTGCACAGTGTATTCCTGTCAGTCAAGTTTTATATCTGGGAACAAATTGTGTTGTATCTTTGTGAGTACTGCTTGTTGATTCAGGCATACACTCGTTTTAAATTGCAACCTGCTATGTAAAGAAAGGATATTTCTTTTGCTCTTTCTTTAGTTCATTCTCTTTTGAAACTTCAGTTCCCATGTGCTTTAATTGTGTACACTGAGCTGCTGACATGGTTTTTAAAGGTTGTTTTCAAGAAGCTGAATTAGAATGTTGAATGCCTTGTCTGTTGGGTCTTTTTTTATGACTTAACCACATTTTAAACTGGAACATAGGAAGAATTTTGAGCGAACTTTAAAAAAAAAAATTAAATCTGTCCTGTATGTAACAAAGTAATTCTAGTATGCATTATGAAATGAAAAAAGTGTACCTGAAACAAAGGGAGGTCCCATAGTACTCCAGAAACTTTTGGACACCTAAGCATTTTTATAATAAAGATGTTACTGTGATTTCTATGTGTCCGTCTGTGTTTCTTGTCCATGAGGAAAATACACTTGTCTTTGTCCCTACACGTCATGGGTGTTGTCACCACAGCTGCAGGACACTGAGCCAACAGTGTCACAGATGGCATGGCTGGAGGCTGCAGTGCCCACGCTTCAGATGTACAGGGGCATGTGGGACTCTGCAGAGGGTAATTCCTGAAGCGGTTGACACTGTGGGATGTATTTTTTTCATCAGAAAACAGAAGACTCTGTTCTTCCCTGCAATTCTGTTAATTTTTTTTCTTCAAGCTTTTCAACTCAGTTTACTGAGGGGAGGGAGTTTAATTGTGGATGGTGTGTGTTTTTCTTTTATTTAAAGTAGATTTGAATGATCTGGATAGGTTTTTGCAGCTGTTGTGTAGGTAATGAGCACTCACTGTAATGCAACTTTTGCTTGGTTTCCCACTGACAGGCACTTTTTAAACAGGGCTCTATTTATAGAACAATCAGTAGGGGAGGTTAGTGATTTTTCACAAACGACACATTGTCCTCTTTTGGGGGTTTAGTGCTGAACCCAGCAAAGGTCAGAAGTAGATATTCTTCCTTCCTTACCTATTTCACCCCATGTTTTTCTCTTGGCACCTGTGTGAAGGCTGCTGGGTTTTTTAATGTGTTTTTAAGCTACATGAATCAGTAATAAATACTAAAAATGAATGCATGCTTCAGGCTTCTGTTAAATTGTTCCTCTGCTGGTTTGTGCGGAGTGTTCATATCTACCACTATGATTTTTTTTAATCATGAAATGCTCAAAAAGACACCAAATTTTCAGTTTTATCTGGAAATCTAGTGTGAGGTGGATTCCAAATGTAAAGGCTCAAATGATGCACATTAACTGCATAGTTAGGCACAGCTGGAGGTGAATTCAGTGCCAATACTTAAAGCAGTAGTCTTAAAGCAGCTGCTTCAATGCTTTCTTTTTCCTGTTGGACTACGTACCTGATCTAGAAGTAATGGTTATTACAAAACCACCAAGTTGTCACTCTGAGTGTGTACATCACTAAATAGCGCTCTTCCCTGTTCCTCTACACTCACTGATAACGTCCCTCCTCCTCCCAAGTGAAGATGCAGAGAGCTATTTGCACAGAGAGTGACGAAGGGCTGGGGGTCTGTGGAGAAGCAAGTGAGGGAAGGAATTGTGTGGGACAAGTGGATCCTGCTGAGTACTGAAATTTGGTGCCAGATCTTATGGAAGGGTTTATTTACACAACAGCTTAAGTTGCTTTTCACCCACTCACACACATCCTCTCTCAGATTTCAGTTGTCTTACTCTCAGGCCCGTGTTCCCGTGTTGTCTGCCCAGGACCGTGTGTGTGTGATGCAGAGGACAAGGGATGCCGGCTGTCACGCGTGTCTCAGGTTCTCACTGGCAGGTGATAATGACATCAGACAGCTCTTCTCTGTCCTCTGGGAGTCAACAGTTTTTTTGGGTTTTCCTTTGCTGTGCTTGCCTTCCTGGCAGGCTGGCAGGAGGAGCAATGGTGTCTGTGGTGCATCCTCCTCTTGTCGGGGTGCAGTGTCTTCTGCTGTGTGGCTGGTGCTGTGGCCTTACCAGAGCATGGTTCTCCAAGCTAGATGGGAGCTGCACCTTCCTGAGCTCGACTGAGGGGAGCGCACAGGCCCTTCTCTTAATTGTCGTTGAGTTGTTTTACCTGATGACATCCCACATTCACACCTCCCTTTATGTTTCTTTCACCCCAATATTTCTGTGACTGGTCTCTATATTATAGTCTCACAACACAGGAAAAGCGAGGACCCCCAGCCTCTCCTTACATCTCATTTCCTGCCCGGGCAGCTGAAGTCCTTGCCAGGCAGGGGAACTGGCAAGGTGAAAGTAGCTAAAGCGAGGGCCAGCAAGGGGAAAAAGGGAAAGAAATTCAGCCCCAGCCAACACCACCCACTTCGGGCCAGGGTGACTGGCGGCCTTGCTCGGACTCGGAACAAGCCCACGCCGGGAGCTGCGTCCCCCCGTGGCAGCCTCGGCGGGTGTTGCGGGTGGGCAGCGCAGGGCCCCCGCGGCACCAGCGCAGCGTGAGGCGGGGAGGGCCGCGGCTGCCGCCTCCCTGCCCGCGGTGAGGGGGGCGAGCCCCCACGGCCTCGCCGCCGCGCCGGCCCTGGCGTCCCCGTTGCTAGGGCGTGGCGCGGCTGTTGCTACGGGCACCATAGAGTCCCGGAAGTGCTCTCAGGCTGGAGCGGCACCCGGAAGCGGCTGCTGCGTCCCGCTCTGTGGTGAGAGGAGCGGGATCATGGCGGCCGCCGCGCGGGGTGGCGGGCGGGCGGGCTGCGGCCCCTGAGGCGCCGCCATGTACTCAGCTGCTGCTGCCTCGCCGCCGCCGCGACGGGACTTCATCTCCGTCACCCTCAGCCCGGAGGAGGCGGTGGGGGCCGGCGGCTATAATAACAGCAAGGCCTGGAGGCGACGCTCCTGCTGGCGGGTGAGGGCGGGCTGCAGGCCGTGAGGGGACCCGGGGCCGCGGGGTGCTCCGGGCCGTGAGGGGAGGACCCGGCCTGGAGCGGGTGGGGAGCTGTACGGTGGTGGCGGGTACCCCCGAGCTGGGTGCAGGGGCCACCTGGCAATGAGGGAGGGCTGTTGGGCTGGGGAGGGCTCGGCTGTAGGGAGTGGACGATGAGGGGTGTCCCTGGGCTTGGGTGCAGCTGGATTGTGTGTTGGGTGTCCTGTCCTGGGGATCTGGCTTGGGACCCCCCCATTCCGAGCTGGGGAGGGGGCCGAAGCTGCGGGCACTTGACGACGGGGATGCCCTGGGCTTTGGGGAGGGGTGGCCCCGGGCTGGGGGTCTGCTCTCAGAGGTGTTCGGGTGGCAGCTCCATCTGGTAGGGATTTGTGGAGTGCAGGCTGGTCGAGAGTGCTCTAAGTCATATCTTATTTTTTGTGAACAAAGCTGGGGCGGGGGTATATGGTGTGCATTTGAGGGGAATCCTGCCCTCTGCTAGTGGCCATCTGGGGGGCAACACTGTGCTCTCTGGGCAGGAGTGGAGGGGAGGGGGTAGGATTTGGTCTTGGTGCCTTTGCCCCCTATTTTAGGGTTTGAAGGGGGACTCCTGTCCTCTGCCCTAGGAGAGTAAAGGGAACAGTTTTGCTTTCTGTGGGAAGGCTGAATGTGAGAAGAGGGGTCTCCGGCAGAGCTCTGTGGAAGTGACCTTCTTGTCTGCTTGTGGGTAGGGAGTGGGCAGGCAGCTTTACTAAGGGTGGGAGTCGGGCTGGAGAGGCAGTGTGGGAAAGTGTGAGCCAAAGGAACAAGATAACCCTTCCTGCAGATAGGAGATGAGGTATAGTCACCTAGAGAGGCTTTACAGGTGGTCAGGTGAAGCGTAGGAAGAACTTGTTTAGGGACACAGTATGGCAGCTTCTCTCTTACTAACAGCTAGGGAAATGTGGGGATAGGGCACAAGATGTTTCACCCTTCCTTTTATTCTTATTCTTTGTCAGCAAGAAAAAGTAAGATGGTGGTGAATGCCCACATGTATTCTTGTGCCTCCTTCCTACCCATCCCAAGACACCACAGTCAATGCCCCTTTTCCCATCCTACCCCGAGGAAACACAGGGCTGCTGGGTTTCAAGCATCCTTCTGCGACTGGGAGATGATGATACAGTTGGCTGTGCAGGTAGAGCCGAAGGTGAAGGAGTGGGATCAGCAACTTGTGGTGTGTGTAGGGAAGGGTGTAGAGGATTACTGTACTGTCAGCAGTGTGGGAGGCAAACAGGAAATGTCTGCTTTGGGGCTTGGCAATGTGAGCACTTTGATAGTTCTTCACTGAAACATTTGCAGCCTCTGGTTGTTATTAAGAGGATGAGGACTATGGGAAGTGCTGTGTGGTTTAGAGTGGTTTGTAGGTAACTGTAGGTTGTTCCCAAGTGTAGCATTAGCAATGAAGTGCCCTATCTGTATGCACAAACCAGTAATGAGAAGCAAAATGTTGCTCTAGTGAATTTTGATAGGACTGTTAGAAAACTAACAAAATGGTGGTTTAGCAGTTAATGTTTAACTCCAACTGCTCTCTCTCTAAATGGAGAAAACTTCTCTCTCAGGCTAATGTAGCATTTGCTGTCTAGCTTTTAGTGATTTTTGTTGTATATACTTCAGTTTTAAAGAGACATTTTTGCCCAGGACTAAACTTGAAAACATTGTGGTTTTGTCTTGTTCCTTGTTCTGTTGGTTTGCTTCATTGTCATGTTGCTGCAAGTTGGTGACTTTATTTGTGGTGGCAGGACCTGTTCTATGTGACAGTTCCACATATGTTTGTCAGAGGTGAGATGCCTGGCTTTTCTTGTTCAGTGGCTGGTGCTTAGCTTATTTTGAGCCTTTCTTCTTTGCTGCAGTAACATTTTTAGTTTTTCTACCACTTTCTTCTGTTTCTTATTTTGCATGTTTGTTCTGCAGTACCTCCCCAGCCAGAAGGGAGGAAAGAGGCTTTTGGCTTATTTCCCAGTTGACATCTGGGCAGATGCACAGGTCAGCCAGCAAAGGTTGTGATGAAAGTCAGCACACTGTATGCGATGCTCTCTGGGAATCTTGGCACTTGACAGTCCCTGAGGTTCTTTCAGCAAGTGCCTCTGATCTTTCTCAGAGCCTGCTGTGTCATATGCTAGCATGTTATATTTCTATTTTCTCTATCATCAAAGAAAATAAGCAATGGATGTCTGCAGTTGGAAACAGAGGGTAAAATTAAACCTACTCAGTTTGCGTTTCTTGCTCTGAATGAACCAATAAGAGTTTATTTTTGACTGACTAGGCTCTTAATGTCATGCTAAATATTATTCCTCTTACTTATTTTCTCTCCTAAAGAAATGGAAGCAGCTGTCTCGACTACAGCGGAGTGTAATTCTCTTCCTGTTTGCCTTCTTGGCAGTCTGTGGAGTCATTTCATACACAAGCATGGGGGAACCGTGGAAAAGTATGTGTTCTGTATAGCTCAGAATTATCGGAATGTGGTGTTATATTTAGGAGATTGTTGTAGTTCTTATAACTAGTTTTAATTTTTATTGACAGTACTGGGTGTATCCATTAAAGCACAGTTGTGAGATGATTTTATGTGACAAGTTTCAATGACTTGTTTCTGCTTCATCAGAAATATTTTTCATATGCCTTTTCCTTGTTTGTCTTGACTAGAGCAACATTTTGTTTTAGTTGATTAAGATTTGGAGGCTGTAAGTGGTTTTTATGATGTTTGTATGTAGATATTAGTAACCCAAACCTAAACAGTAGAATAAAATAATCCTCTCTTGGTTTTGATTGTCCACCAGATTAGAAATTCCAAGCTTTTTTACAATACGAACGCACATGTACCTTTGATATTATCTTACTGCCTGTATTGACAAGCTAAAATAATAGCAATTAAAAAAAAAATCATGTGCCTTTTAGCAGCCTCCTTCTATGTTAGGGACAGTGTTAATACCAAAAGACACTTTGTATCTAACAATTAGTGTGTGTTTATCAGTGTTTTGAGAATGGAAACACTTTTTGGAGGTGCAGCTAGTATGTGAATGCAGCAAACTGTTACAAATTTCTAGCTGGAGCCTAAACTGTTGATTCCTTGTGCTGAGCAGTTTTGTATGTCCAGGTCTAACAAACAAATCCGTGGATGATCAGAGAACAGAACCAGAAATTCCTGGATTAAAGCTGGCAAATCCAGCTGTTCTACCAGCACCCCAGAAAGCAGATGCCAACCTTGGAGACTACGCAGAGCTTTCACCTCAGGTACTATGAGAAGAAATGAGTTTTATAAAGCTACCAAAGAGCTTGTGAAAGCTGCAAATAGTGTTTTGTTCAACAGTTGTTGAGGAGAAAGGTGTTATAACTTGCAATAAAAGTCTGCTTTGGGTGGAATACTCTCCTCTCAGGAAGGGCTTTGGTATAGTATTTCTTGGCTTTACCTTTTTTATTTAAGTGGTCAGTATACTATTTCTTAATCACTGATATACCTAGGACTGCCAGGACTTTAGGTCACAGTGACCTCTTACTTGAGGCTTCACTTTCCTGATGTGATTAATTTGTTTGGACTTGGAGTGCTCCAGACGTTAGTCTTGCTGTTGTGAGGAGCCTAAATACAGTGGTGGTTGAATATGAGACGTAGGATACAGTCAGTGTCACACTGAACTGCAATAGCTTTTCTGGTAGATTGAAAAATATCAGCAAACAGAACAGATGTTAGTAGGTTTTGAAGGGTTACATTTGTGGGGGATGCCAGGGGAAAGAAACATGAGCTGACTGTGTGGATTAGTGGAGTAGAGGAATACAGGTTACTGTGTTGCTCTTCATGTATTTACCTCATGAATTTGGGGATTTCCAGTTAATGAATACAAAATTTTGTATTAAATATTTCCCTCATCATGCACAAATGTACATGTATTACTGTATTGTAAATCTTGGTATTATCTAACACCGACATTGTGTAAGCTTTTTTTGGTTTTTTTTTTGCATGCTTTTTGCTAATTCTAATAAAAGTTTACTGTGCCTAGTAAAATGGAATCAAATATCTTTACAATCCTTTGGCAGTGCCTTCTCTTAAATTAGTATGTGGTAGCAGTGGAGGTAGTTTAAAAGTAAGTTATCAGTTTAAACTTAAGAACTGGCTAGTTTTACCAAAAATTTAAAACAAACAAAAACCCAAGGTCTTTAGCATACTTTCCATTCAGGGCAGAACTTGCATGCTGATACGATATCAAAATAAGATTTATCTGAAGTTATGTTTAACACTGGAATGTTGTTGATTTATGGTTTGAAATTTTACCATCTCTGCAACATACCAAGCACATCTTTTTTTTTCTTTATTTTCTCAGAAGCCGCCAAAACCGCCTCATGTTTGGCGTGGTCCTTCCAATCTTCAGATCAAGCCACCACGGAGGGATGTGAGGCTGAAGACCCGACATGATACCAGCAGGGTTGTAGAAGAGCAGGTCCAGGCTGATAAAGAAGAGAAAACAGAGAAATCCATTATCAGGTATAAATGTTTCCAGCAAGTTACAGTGCTCCCCGCCTTGCCCCCCCCCAAGATCCGTTGGATGTTGGAGTGAAAATTGTAATGGCTTTTTGTTGTCTGTGTCTGAGGTTGATTTCTTTCCTTGCATATATTTGTTCTCAGGTCTGGCCTGACAGCTGTTGATATTGCTAGGCTGATTTATTTAATTTCAGTGAATGTGCAGCTTTTTGGGTTTTACTGTTTGCATCATAGGACTGCAGAGGATTTGGAGCCCTACAAGGCTGTCTGGATTTCTAATGCACTTAGATGCTCTTAATGCTCAGGAGAATTCTCAGTGTCTGTAGGTTTCTGCCATTTGGTTTGTAGTAAATATTAATGTACCAGTATCAATACAATAACACTGTCACAAGTGTCTTTGTCCTGGGCCAGACTTGGAAGATTATACCAGTTTCAGTGCTGGTTAGGGGTATGATGCCACTAAGCACAGTAAGCCCAAGTTGAACTGGCAGAAGTTGTAGACGTGTACGTAGTTGTGTGCGTGTAACTGTACAAGATATGCTTACTCCTTTCTTACAAAAGATTAATCATACAGTTCAAAGACCCTTTATGCAGATATAGTAATATCTTTTACAGAGTCTCTATGCTGCTATGATTATATTTATACTAAGTTATTCCCTAAGATATTACTGATTGAAATCTTCTGATTTGGGAATAACTGGAGGCATGCGACTTGGATATAGAAAAGACTACAAGTTCAGCAGAGGTTCTTAAGATTTGGAACACTAGGCTGGGTTTTTTTGTATGTTTGTGTCCTTTTCAGCACCAGCACAGCTGAGCTGATCATAACATCAGAACTGTGCCTGCATCAGCATGTTGGCTGTTGGTATTATCTGAAATCTCTCAAAATGACTTGAAGTGTCTTACTCTTGTGCTTATGCTATAACTCGTAGAGTTAAATGGGTGGTAACAGGAAAACTTAGGAGAGCAGTGAAGACTAGTTACAAATTTAAAGAATGAAAGTAAGAAATGAAATTATGGGATTTATGTAGGTCATAAGGTATGCTGACTGTAAACAATATAAACTTTAAAGGTCCTGTAAGCTTGGTTCCCTTAGGAGGCATATCATGAACTCGAAGGCAACATATCTATTTATTGAACAGCATGGCTGAGATTGTTTGATCTTGATATGAACTTGGCTTGACTTGAAGTCCATTCTGAAAGACTTCTACATAAGGATATTCTTAATAAAAACCTGTAAAAACTGTTTTATGCATCTGTGGTGGTAGGGAAGGCTTGTGAACCCCTTGGTATTAAAGCAAGTACTACCTTAAGTGGCTAGTCCTTTGTGCTTATTCACGATTTTTTGATGATCATCATTTGTGTGGTACTATTTAGTGTTGGTGGCTCCTGTGATCATTTCAGAACTGGTAGATAACAAAATACTTCTAATGGCAGCATTCTTAGGTGTTTTAATTCTTTTTAGAAGTTCTTTATTAAATTCTATTGCCAAGATATTTAATGAAATTCCATGACCCTGTAAGATACATTTCTTAAACCAGTAAAATTTCTCTGGTGCAAATTACTTCTTTTGAACGGAAAAAAATTATCTAGTGGACAACATGGTTCTTTTGATCCTTGATACAAAATCCAAATCGCTGTTTTATCAAAGTATTGTGAGAAAAAGGAAATGCAGAGATAAGTGTCATTCATTTGCATTACTTTCTGTGATCAAGTTAATTACAATCCCTTGGATTTGCAGCTGGAGAGGAGCAGTGATAGAACCTGACCAAAGCACTGAACCTCCGTCTAGTAAAATAAAGGAACCAGAAAAACCTTCATCTGTGGAAGCTGAAGACCAGAAGGAACCAGGTAAATAGCACAGTTAATGATACCTTTATTTCTGCTCACTTTTGTGGTTGAAGTTGTGCAATTCCTACACACACGCACACCTATTTTATTTTAATTAAAGGAAACAAAAAATGAAGGAAAGATTATTTATCTAGAACATCTAAGCCTTTTGGTGTCTTTATTCCACCATGACAGCCTTCATGCTTATTAGCCTTCAGAATTTGAAAATAAATTTTAGTGACAAATCTTTGAAATATAGCTTCTGGGAGGAGGCACACATTTCCATCTTTTCTTCAGGAAAGGACAGTCTAAAGAGAGAGGGCTTGAAAGGGACAGCTTCCTTTTTCAGCAGTGGTTTTCCTTTTGTTCTGCAAATACACGGAAAGTGACTTTGTCCCTGAATTAAACTGAACTATTTTTAAGGCTCACCAGAAAGCTGTAGCAGTTGTTTTTGCAGTTGCTGTCCTTGTGGAGTAAAGAACCTGTTGCTCTGCTTTCTGGGTTCTTACAAGGAAGTTCTGATATGATAAACGTGGCGTACTACAATGTATGTAATGTGGCATTTGCTAGCTTAATATATATGGGGTTAGTTACGCTGGTTGGTGTTTCCCACTCTAGAAGTCTTTGTTTATAATTTTGCAAAATTTCAGCTAATGGGCTTGAAATTTTTCATTTCGAATGTGTAACATAAACTCAACTTTATGGCAAATTGCAAGCAAAAATTTCAGTAGAACCATGCAAAAAGACATGGCCTTGCCCAAGATGGAAAATGTAAATTTTCTTCCTTTTTTGTATTAAATGAAAAGTTCAAGGGAAATAATTTTGTATAACTGACTTTTATTCATTGCTTTCTGCTAAATTTAGACGGGGAAGGTGAAGAAAAAATGGTATGTGGTAAATTAGCTGAGGATTTTATTGTTAAGCGTATGTATTCAGCAGCTGAATTACAGTTGATTTAAGCAATCTTAATTCTGGTATTTCCTGATTTTCAGGTCTTTGACCTTTAGTGATACTCATCTAACAACTGTGCATGTGAATATTTTAATGTTTTATTTGCAGAAGTGACTTTTTTTTGCCAGGGAGAGATCTCTGTTTCCACCTGGCTGAATTGCTGACCAGAAACTCTGACTGGTTGTTCTGCAGAGGAAAAGCTGTACTAAAAAGAATAATCTGAGGATGGTTTTTCCATTACACTGATCATTTAGTTTGGCAGAAAGTTTATTTTGGGTAGAATACAGCAAAATGGTGTTTGGTATAGCTGCATAACTCCACTGCAGAAGTCTTGAGCAAAGTGCTGTTTTCCTTTGGCAGTGCCCATAAACGAACGTCAGATGGCTGTGATAGAAGCCTTCCGCCATGCATGGAAAGGATACAAGGATTTTGCCTGGGGCCATGATGAACTGAAGCCTTTGTCCAAATCCTACAGTGAGTGGTTTGGACTTGGGCTTACCTTAATTGATGCCTTGGATACCATGTGGATTTTAGGCTTAAAAGAAGGTAATTTTTTTTTCCTCCTCCATTTTTTCCCTCTAAAATAATTCCTTATTTTCTATTTGGGCAGTACATGTTCAGAGTTGTTTGAGGGGAACATTTATTGCATGTGGCCAATAAGTTTAGTTTTACTGTGAGGGTAAATACACACACACACACATATATATGTGTGTGTGTGTATATATATAAAATATATATAAAAATAAATATTAAAAACCCCACCAGCTATATTAAAGGCCACCATTTTTCTTGGAATAGAATTTTGAGCCAGAAAAAAAATATTCTGCTGTTAGATATAACAATGGCTATATCTGCTAGAATCTGAAGAATGTATTAATAAGCCTCCTGATTTTTGTTTCTATACTAAAACCCTAGTGCTATCTTTGTGCCATTATACAGCCACTGGAGGCTTTCTACCCATCAATGTTAGGCAGTTAGCCTGTAAGCTCCTAGGTTGTGTTTTATCACTCCTAATATCAATATTTCATATCTGGATTTAAGAACGTTGTTTCTCTAAGGAATCAGTGGATGGAGAAGGGGAGTGTTCAATATCTCCTTCCTGAACTGCTCTGCCGTCTGTATTTTTTCATAGTTATTCTGGAAGTGACTGTTAGAAAACTTCCAAACAGATTTTAAAAACTAAGCCAGAAATTCTGCAATTCTGTTGCAAAAAAACTTGCTTAATCAGTATTTAAAAGTATTTTGTGGTATGTGGGGTTTTTTGTTGGTTGGTTGGTTGGTTGGGGGGTTTTTGTTTTGTTTTTTTTTTTTTTTGTGGTGCAGGGGTTTTTTTAGTGGTATTTAAAAAATTCTGGAACTGTATCTATTTAACCTTGGTAAGTAGCCACCTTTGTAAACTTCTATCAATCATACAATTTTTTGTGTCAAGATAGGAAGAACAGAGCTGCTAGTAAGGGGACAATAAAAAGTCAAAGTCTTTCATGGTTCAGTCTCTTCTAACTTTGAAGTTTGTGTAAAATATTAAATCAAACAAAAACTCTGTATTGTGTCTGCAGCTCTAGGCCTGAGCAGGCTATCTTGAAGTTTCACCAAGTTGACAGCGTGCTGCCTATTTTTCATAAAAAATTAACAGTGAACTGTATAGAGCTTTTAAAATAAATTATTAGTAATTTAGATGTTTTGAAAATGGGTTCTTGGTGAAGGCTTCTTCATGTTTTATAGCAGTTCTTTTGCTGATTGTCTTAGAAAGCTCCTGGGGTTTCTTCTGAATAACAAATGCTATATAAATGAAAGTTCTATTTGAGGTTGCCAGTCTTTCCTATAAGCTGATGAATGCTAACTCTTTTGTGAAAGAGGACTTTACCTTTTCTATGGTACTGCTAGACAGTGCTAACATCTGACAGCAGAGATTTTTCTGTGGTTCTTATTTACCCAACATCCAAGACTTTTTTTCTCGTGAGGGCACAGGGGCATCCTTTTGCTTTTGAGTTAATCTCCTGTGGAATACCTTCCATTTCTGGGAAGCTGGTTGTTCTTCTGCACCTGCTGATAATCAGTAGTTTTGGGAAGGTGTGAGAACTTAGCCTTCACAGTTAGAGGCATGAGCTGGCTCACACACACCATGGAATTAGACCCTGTGCAAAAGCAATCACTGAATGATGCTGCTGATAAACTGACTGTTGAATTTAAAATGGCTTTTATTTTTACATTCCTTTTTTAATTAGTAGTGTGATAAACAACCATTTTTGTTTCTGGAGAAAAAATTGCAGACTGTCGGGATTTTATGGGTTAAGTGCTGAAGCAGGAGGCAGGGTCCCCAGGACATTGCTAGACTTAAAGGCCTTAATGGCTGTTAACTGAAAATGTTATCCCTTATCTTGGTAGATAACAGCTTTGGTTTAAAAGATTTAATTAAAAAGTTCAGAAGGCTCTTCTGGAAGTCAAATGGATGGACTTAAAAGACCTAAATTTCTGGACTATTTCAACAAAGAATTCCTCAATTTCTTCTTTTTTTAGACTATTAGAACTTTTTATTTTGCTGGGTATTTCTGTCTGTATGCATCTGTAGTATGTACTGAATAAGAATTAAGCCAATGGTAGTCAAACTTCTTCCAGCATGTGCTCTTCATTTTAGTTTTCCACCTAAAGTTGTGATCTGTGTAGATAGATATAAGTAACTGTCATGGATACATGGAGTATTAATGTCTGTAGTCTAGTTGTTGAAACATGCCAGCAGTTCATAACTGAACTACCTTTTATACTTTGCAGAGTTTGAAGAAGCAAGAAAATGGGTAGCAAACGATTTAGTATTTGATAAAAATGTGGATGTGAACCTCTTTGAGAGCACTATTCGTATCCTGGGGGGCTTGCTGAGCACCTACCATCTCTCTGGAGATAGCCTCTTCCTGGAAAAAGCCGTGAGTGACTAGTCTTACAAATGAAACTGGATTATGTATTCCATATTGGACAAAGTTGAGGAAAGATTCATCAGAAAGTTAAATGTTGCTGGTTTTTAACAGTTTCATATTTAAAGTGGTGGGAGAGGGATTTACCATTAATTTTTTAAGCCTGCGCTGCTTTTTTGCTCTCTGGATAACCTCAGAGCCTTGCTGTGTTTTATCGGGTATTCTTATATGCCTGTTCTTCTGTTGATGAAGAGCTGACCATAATAAATCTCATGAAACAAAAAAGGAAATAAATGGTTGGCAAAGAGTAATAGTTGTGCTTTGTTGCCCTTTCTGTGTGTCTTAACAGCATCAGCCACCTCTTTAGATTCGCTAGATGCAGTTAATGACTTCAGAATTACATTGCATTACACAGGGATTGCAGACTCAAATGAGGCGTGCAATACTAGGAGCAAGGTATAAACTCTGTAGTCATTACTATACATAAATCCATGACCCTTTTTAATTCTTGGCTTTCTTGTACCATCTAAAACTAAGCTGCTATTCTCTCTTTTTCTGTTTGCTTGCTGAAAGAAAATCTAAAGGGCTGTGTGTGTGTGTATATATTTAATTTTTGTTTTGTTTGTTGTTTTGTCCTGTGCTCTTGGGTTTTCTTTAGAAAGACATTGGGAACAGGCTTATGCCAGCGTTCAAGACCCCCTCCAAGATACCATATTCTGATGTCAACATTGGCCGGGGCACTGCACATCCACCTCGTTGGACATCTGACAGCACTGTGGCAGAGGTGACCAGTATTCAGCTGGAGTTTAGGGAGCTCTCTCGTCTTACTGGAGATGAGAAATTCCAGGTATGGAAGAATCAGTTGATGCTTTTCTCTTTTTCCACCTCTCTACAGCTCCACCACTGACCTCCATCAATACATGTGGTGTCTGTAGTCTCTAAGGGACATTAAATGAGTTGTGAAACTCTAGATGAGGGAAGGAAAAGAAACAAAGTAATTCTGATTATTTTCTTAAATATAAAAAAGTAGTAGTGGCAGTGAATAATTATTTTTCTCCCTCAGAAACAGCTTTTGATGTAAAAAAAAAACCAAAACCAAACCAAAAACCCCACAGTATGAGGAAAAGTTAGTTGAAATAAAAATAACTCCAGAGAAAATAATGTTTTCCACTTTTCTTTTTGTTTGGTGATGTTTTATTGTTTTAAACTGTATCCACAGCTCAAGTTTCGAAGAGTGCAGTTATTTAAGTAAGTTTTAGCTATTGCACAATTCATGTAGTTGTTGTTTTAGCTAGACTTCTACTTTGCAAATACAAGTCAGATCATAGTCCAGTGCCATAGTACTGGCTTTTGAGTGGGCTTACTTGAAGGAAAGGAAACAGCTATAATTATTTCAGGGTACTTAAATGTACCCAGGACATCATGTTTTGAGAGTCAGAAAGTTTGAAATCCTGTATTTAATATAATGCACGAGCTTGATGTCCCTGATGCTAATTTGAGGAAGAATAGTTAAAGATTTGTTGCTGGCCTGAAGTTACTAGCCACAGTTTCGTGCATCATTTATATCTGTAATTTAATTTTGCTATTTTCTTTCTTTTAGAAAGCTGTAGATGAGGTGATGAAGCATGTTCACACCCTCTCAGGGAAAAATGATGGACTAGTGCCTATGTTCATAAACACCAATAGCGGGCAGTTCACTCACTTGGGTGTCTATACTCTGGGAGCCAGAGCTGACAGCTACTATGAGTATTTGCTCAAGCAATGGATTCAGGGTGGGAAAAAAGAAAACGAGTAAGTTCCTTGCACTTCTCATATCAGTGTGAGAATTATGCGAGCTGTAAAACTTTAGGCTGTAGTTTACTGCTTAAAGAAAAAATAATGTATGTGCCCAACAGTTGACTGAAAATACCACTGTTTTTAAAAGCAAGCTAAGCAAGCAAGAGGGACCTGTGGTAACTTGATATAAAACCAGCATGAGAGTTAGGCTTAGTCTCAAAACTTCTCCTCAGAAAACTTCTTCCTCAGCACATCAGATGTGAGGAATGTTACAGACAGGAGTTTTTGCAGTAGATATGGAACATAATTAGACACTTCTGAAATACTGATGATACTTCATTTCACCAGCGATGTCTGTTTTCTCTGGGTTTGTTAGGGAAAGGTGAATCCTACAAGATTGTTGAGGTAGGACAGTTAATCCATGAGGAATAATATTTCTAAGAAGGGAGAGTGAAGTTTGTTTGTGTAAACTTTGCTTTACATCCCTGTCGTGGTTTGAGAACAGCTGGTAACAAAGCAGCATGAAGCTGCTCGCTCACTCCTCCCCCCATGGTGGGATGAGAAGATATAAAGAAAGACTCATGGGTTGAGATAAGGACTGGGAGGGATCACTGACCACTTATGGTCATGGACAAAAAACAGGCTCAACTTGGGCAAAAAACCAAAATCAATTTAATTTACTACCAATCAAATCAAAACAGGATAATGAGAAATAAAACCAAATCCCAAACCCCCTTCCCCCCACCCCTCCCTCCTTCCCAGCTCAACTCCACTCTGATTTTCTCCACCTGCTCCCCGCCAGGGGCATGGGGAATGGGGGTTGGGGGCAGTTCATCCCACCTTGTCTCTGCCACTTCTTCCTCCTCAGGGGCAGGACTCTTCACTCTTCCCCTGCTCCAGCATTGGGGTCTCTCCCACGGGAGACAGTTCTCCATGAACTGCTCCAGCGTGGGTCCTTTCCACGGGCTGCAGTCCTTCAGGCACAGACTGCTCCAGTGCGGGCTTTCGCGTGGAGTCCCAGCCATCTTCGGGGGCATCCCCCTGCTCCGGTGTGGGCTCCTCCCCGGGCTGCAGGTGGGCATCTGCTCCCCCGGTCACCTCCCTGGGCTGGGGGGGGACAGCCTGCTGTCTCACCAGGGGCTGCAGGGGCATCAACCTCCTCTGGTGCACCTCCTTCCCCTCCTTCTTCACTGGCCTTGGTATCTGCAGAGGGGTTTCTCTCACATTCCAATCTCCTCCCCTGCTGTAGGTTCCCTTTTTTAAATATGTTGTCCCGGAGGCACTACCACCGTCACTGATGGGCTCGGCCTGGGCCAGAGGCTAGTCTGACTTGGAGCGGGGGGAGCTTCTAGCAGCTTCTCACAGGAGCCACCCCTGCAGCCCCTCCCCCACTACCAAAAGCCCTGCCACACAAACCCAAACCAGTCTCTCATGTTTCTTTATCAGCACTGGATAAGTGGAAGAGAATGTTTGCAAGGAGCAGAGGAATTAGAGATGTTGGAAGAGGTTTCCTCCAAAACAAGACAAGAAATCCAAGCAGTTTTTGTCTGCTTTTAAGCTAATTATGTTGGACTTCATGTGGAGGGGTTTAATGCATACAGAGCAACAATGTGCCTCTCTCAGGCATTTCTTTATATCAGAGCAGGTGCATGTCTACAAGAAAGTTTGTGTCACTGCTTTTTTCAAGCTATACCTCACTGTAAATGGAGAACTGTTGACTTTGGGACCATGAACGATGGCATTTTGTGAGCCTCAAAATGGAATTATTCAACAGGGCTTTTTCCACATAGAAGTACTTTGAAACAAGGGAAATTCCAATTAAATACTGTGAAACAATATTTCACAATGAGAGTGGTCAAACATTGAAAAAGATTGCTCAAGTCGTTGAATCTCCATCTTTGGATGGAGATTAATAAAACATTGCTCAGATGAGCCCTCAGGCAACCCAATCTAATTGAATCTGCTTCAAAGCAGAGGGTTGAAGTAGAGACCTCCAAGAGGTCCTTACTAGCCTAGATTTTCTGTGATTTCAATTATTGTACTTCTTAGGATTCCTGAAATAAAATCTGGTTACTGTCTAGAAACAGACTTGGGGGTACGTTTTTTTTAATACTTAAATTCAAGTAAAGCAAATATTGCTACATGGTACCAATAACTAATTAATGTCCAGTTGATGGTGACTTTGAGGTTTTTATGTCAGTTTTCACATTTGGTTAAATATAATTCTTTAGACTGAAATAACAGTTGCCAAAAGGATTGTGCTGAACATCAGCTATGATTAAATGTGTTCTGACTGCGTGTGTGTGAGCCAACTGGGAATTATTTTAATTCACAGGCTGTTGGAAGACTATATGAGAGCCATAGAAGGAGTGAAAAAGCATCTTCTTCAGAAATCACAACCCAAGGAGCTTACTTTTGTAGGAGAGCTTGCTCACGGCCATTTCAGTGCCAAGATGGTAAGAGGTTCAACAGCATTTAAAAAAATAACAATAAAAGAAAACAGAAAAAACACTACCAAAAAAAAAATCAGCATATGGACAGGCAAACGCAAAGCTTCTGTGCTGTCTTCCCCTTTCCCGCCTCCAAAGAAACCAGTCTCCCCCCCGCCCCAAAAAAGCCAAAACTATACATATAGCCAGTGTGATGGCAGTACTGAGTAACTAGTTTGTAGACAGTAGTCACCTGTACAAACCAGGGCCCTTCTCTTTGAGTTACTCTAGTAAATCCATTTATGTTTCTGTAAGACTGAACGTTTTGGTCCTGGAGTAAAATTTTCTTTTTTTTCCTGTTTTGGTCATAAAATTCAAGTGTCTGAAACTGTTCAGGCAGTGTGTATTTTACGTATTATTTATTTTCCATAATTCAAAAATATATAGGTGGATACTTGCACACCTGGCTTTTCTGATTTACCTTCAAAAGAAGGAGGTGATCTAATATTGTGTTACTGGGTCAAAAAAAAGAATCTGATAGTTGTGGAGGGTTCTGTCCATTCATGACATTTGTTTCTTTTACTATATGTAGGGTTACTGAGTAAAACAGTATGCTGTTTGCTGTAGGGAAAATTGATTGATCTTAACTCCCTGCTATTAATCTGTGCATCCATACTCCTTAAAATGCATTTTAAGATCTTTCAGTTAAAGATCTCAAGCAAGTGCAGGTGTTGTATGTGTGGCATTTTTTTAAGATGACTAACGCTTTTTCAATACCTGAAGTGAGCTTTAGTGAATTCTTTGACTTGTTTCATTTCTTGATGTAGTGTTTTTGAGATTTACAGTTCTGTTTTTCAGCATGTGTTTCTTGCATCTGAATTTCCCAAAGGCTCTCCAAACCTGCTGTGAGCGAGACTGAAGTCTGGGTTTTGGGTAGAGGGGGCTCCCCCATATGACAGAATTGGATTCAGACAGATAGGTTTGGCTTAGATTTCTGCATGTGTTGGTACACTTGCTTCTGTTTCAGGGAGTCAGTGTTTTGGTATTTAATGAATTATTATTGGGTGAAAGGCTTGACAGGTGTCTTACCCTGGCCAACTGGAAAAGTGGGGGATGTTTGTCTCCTGTGTCTATGATGACCTTCACCACCCTCAACCATTTCCTTTAGGACTGGACAAAGCTTTTAAAGGTCCGTACACCTGCTGCTTGTGCACCAGAGTGTTTTTACTATGTTTTTGGATCGTGAGACCTGAGCTTTTATTCTGAATGGCAAGAATAATTTGAAATTCCATATGTGACATTAACCTGCAATTCTTAGATTCACAATAGCAGTGGTGGATTAGCCCCTGAAGGAGGACAATCCGTCTTATATTGCAAATAGAATTTTTCTGGAGATTAGTTTTGGGCATTTTTTACAGTCTGTTTTCTGATGTGTTCTTCAACTGACTTTGATGACTGAGCTTTCTTGGAAAGTTAACTAAATTAATCTTGATTGTTTACAAATGTTGCACAGTTCTTGAAGTAATACCTCTCCTCTTGTCCTTTGAACAAATTTTTGCTGTAGCAAGTAAAAGCTAAGAAAGAAATGTCCCTGCACTCCTTTCATTGCTGCTGCTTTGTCTTGGTAAAGCAAGCAGGAATGCTCTTCACATGATCATCCTCAGGTGCCCCGCTTCCATATATACGTGAAGAGCCAAAGATGATTTGTTCAAGGGGCATGGTATCTGTGGCATTCAGCTGACTGTAAACAAGAGAGTAAGTCTAGGAGAGCTAGTGGTGGGAATGGGAGCCAGCTGTATTCCAGACTGTCTAGAAAAATGGTGCTCTTGCATATTTGGTGCTCTATAGAAGTGAGGTGTGATAGCTTTTTATTATCCCAATAACAAAGCTGCAAGAAAGGGGCAAGCTTTCAGGCAGAAGTATGCTTGAAAGCTTATTGGTGTTTTCCAGATGTATCAGTGGTTCTAATGATCTCTGTAGATGTTGTCTCTCTTACAGTAGTTCTAAGGTGATTATTTCAGAATGAGGAAAATCTCTTTCAGCTGACCTCTCCCCTTTCACCAAAGCTTTGTTTTCTGTGGCTGACTCCCATCTCTGTTCCATTTTAAGTTTAAAATTCAGATGATCTTTGTCCCTTATGTAGTCCCTTTAGGTGTCTATTGAGAAACCTTGAGGTGATTCTGCCTCCCTCCCCCCCCCCCCCCCCCCCCCCCCCCCCTTTCATGAATTGGTATGAAATGTATACTTCTGGTAAACCAAAGATGCTTTCTTCCCCCTTGCCCTGACCTGAGACCTTTTTTTCCAGAAACTTGACATAAAAATACACAGTCTTGTACATTTTCCAAATCAGTGATGTCTCTGTAATAAAGCTGCCTGCCTCATGCTACATTACATCAGATTGTTAAAAAGTTACTCTCAAGTTCTTGGTACCCCAGATGTGTTTTGAAGAAGAGAAAGAAGAAAAAAGGTGGGGGGGGGGGGCGGGCAGGACACACACATATGGACACAGAGAAGCACACACACAAATACCTGTTTGTTGTGTAATTTTTTCCCCAGTAAGAGTTGTCTTGTCTTGCAGGATCACTTGGTTTGCTTTTTGCCTGGTACTTTGGCACTGGGAGCTCACAATGGATTGACTGCTGACCACATGAAATTGGCTGAAGCCCTTATAGAAACCTGTTACCAGATGTATGCTCAAGTAGAGACAGGCCTGAGTCCAGAGATCGTACACTTCAATCTTCATGCACAAAAGGGCCACAAAGATGTGGAAATCAAGGTGATGGCCTGAACTGTAATTTGATTATTCTTCTGTATCTCTTCTGCTGTTGAAACTCCCAGCTGGATGGATATTGGTGATGTGCTCTGATGTGGAGCAACTTGTTCTTTTGCTGCCTTGCTTTCTAGGTGTACCCTAGCCTTTGTTTTTAATTACCCCTGTAGTGTATTTAGAATCTGAGTTATGCATAATAAACTCTCTGGAGTAAATGGAGATGGAAATCACTATTTTTCTTCCTGTATCCTTGAGGAAGTTCCCTGTGTGAATTATTCTTGCCTTCTTTTTCTCTTGCAGCCTGCAGACAGGCACAACTTACTGCGACCAGAAACTGTGGAAAGCCTTTTTTATATGTACAGATTCACCGGTGATAAAAAATACCAAGACTGGGGCTGGGAAATCTTGCAGAACTTCAATAAATACACACGGGTAAGGTCAGCTTAAAATAACCTTGTTCTGTCAGGACTGTATTCACTCACTTGCTCTCTTAACAAGAATTTTGAAAACCTACTATCTTTCAAGAGTCATTAAATACCTGTGGGGAACTTTGTAAGAACACACAGAAAAATTCAGTTCATGCAGTGCTTTACAGTTTGAGATGCACTACTTAGTATATTCAGGGAAAGAACTTGTATTGATTAAAAAATAAAATGTAGAAGCTGTATGCAGACTACCAAAGCATCTCTATGTCTTCTTAGAAGCTATTAGAATCTCTACTGTGATCTTTTTTAGAATTCAGAAGCTGAGTAGGACCTGGCCGGATTGAAAGCACCCTTTGGTTGAAGTTGCAAAAAAAAAAAAAAATTGCCACAAAATGGCATTAATGCTTTAATAGAAGGGGTTTTATATTAATTCTGACTACAGTGCTCATGGAGATGCCACTCTGAGATGCTGTAAAAGTGGTCATTAAATATCCATGGTCTGTTCTTAAGAGAATTTTGACCAAATCTAATGTAGAAATTGCACTAGTTACTTTCTGTATGTTTGTCCAGAAACTTCAAGGGGATGTTCTGTGTGATACCTCTTTAAATTAAGCATAAATGGACATTTTGCTTCATTTTATCCTCATGTTTTCTTTTAAAATGCAATGCGATTTTTTTCATAACTGGAGTTTTATATGTAAATGAAAAACAAGTGTGAAATTAAAAACATGCTGAACTGTTTCTTAGCACTTATTTTCTCCAAGTGCATCTGGATGTTAAGAAGTGAAAATAATTTATTTTAGATTATCAAAATATACAAAATTTCTGCTTCTTTTTTTTTTTTGGCACAGGTTCCTACAGGTGGTTATACTTCCATTAACAACGTCCAGAATCCCAGTAATCCAGAGCCACGAGATAAGATGGAGAGCTTCTTCCTTGGGGAAACACTCAAATACATGTTTCTGCTGTTTTCAGAAGACATAGACTTAATCAACCTCGACAAATACATATTTAACACAGAAGCTCATCCACTCCCTATCTGGGTGCCAGCATAGACTGGGTGTCAGTAGATATTCCAATGGTGGCATTCTTATCTTCAAGTCACTTTACTTTTCAGGGTTTGAGGAGAGATGCTATATTGCACCTTTTTTTGGCTTAAAACAAACAAAACCTTTGGGAAGGCATCTCTGGTTTGGAGAAGTCCTGTCAGTCTTAAGTCTAATTCCTGGTCGTGGGATGGACAAGCTGTGCCATGCTAAGCTGGTTTTCCTGGTATTGATGATGAGGTTCAGCGAATAATTGTAGTGTGCACTGTGACATTCACGGTGCTCTGGTGAACCAGAACTCACTTATGTCAGTCTTACTAAATGCTCATTAAATATCGGGAATGCAGCAAGTTGTCTTACAGCACAGGATTGTCCCTGGAGAGAAGGAATAAGCCTACAGGTTTCTGTTTTTTTCTGGATTGACTGAAACACTCAGTTACAGTGCCATTCCTTCATAAGAATGTATGGTGTTTCAGGTGGTAAGCGGAATAAACAAAGAACTGTAATGTTGTCCCAGTTAGAAGCAATGCTGTCAGTATTGCTACTGATACTCTGATCTCATTCCAAACTACCGAGCTATGCTGCATCACATTAGAAGAAGGAAGTGGGAGCAAAGCATCTGTTGTACAGTGTCTTAGTTTTATAGAGCGCTTTGAACAATCTGTTCAAGCTGTGGCTAAAATGAATGATGGAAGAGAATCCGCTGCTGGTTTGGCTCAAAGTGGTATATAATTTTGTAGAGGTATTGCAGTTTTTTAACTTATCTGCAGGAATGCAGGATATAATGTGAAACGCAAATGAAACTACACATGCATTTTATATATTATTTGCATCAGTTAGACTCAGGTATTCTGACTGAAAGCTGCTTTCTGAGGTTGGGCACTGGGAAAGCTTGTGAGCACATTGGGTATAATTCTAAGTCAGCCTCCTTCCGTCCCTTCCTGTCCAGATATTGCATTGTGTTTGTTGACTCAAAACAAGCTTACAACTGTACAGCAAAGTTCATGTTATTCATCATTTTTTGGACTGTGGAGAAACTTTAAATTTTTTTTTTTCCTAAACAGTACTTTGGGTAGAAGTGTTTTCATTAGTAGTATTAAAAGCAGGCAGTCTAAATGTATTGCAACAGTTTCTGGTCCCAATAGAACTAGTGAAATCTGTTCAGTTGCTTGAAGACAAAGCAGACCTAGTTTTTTTAAGAATCTTATGGGAGCCCTGGGATCTTATGTGCAAATAGATTTTAAACCATGAATTTAGAAATCGACTTTCTATAGTGCTTTTCATTTTGGTTTTGTAGCTACTTGGACAGTCCTGTATTCACAGATAAGTTCTCAGAAATGTGCTTGTTCATATTTCTTAAAAGAGGTTGTTCTCACCAAAATGTCCTTTCCCCTCACATTAATGGGAGTGGTGGGAAGTATGCAGATGCGTGGTAGGAACAGTGAGGTACAGTTGCCTCTAAATTCAGGGCCGCTACACAGAGCTAATTAAATCTGACTGTAACGGTTAATTTTCCAGTGGCTGAGGGGGGTATGTGTATTTTATGGTATTTGTAAAGTAAGATGCATCTTTATTTGGTTTATGCTGATAATTCTGTTTGCTGGAGTCAGAAGTTACCCTTGGGACCACTATTTAAGTCTTTTAAAGAATATTTATCATTCCGTGTGCTAATGATGGCTTATGGAAATGGAGAAATTTTACAAATTATTTAAATGTACCTTTTTCTGTCACCAAAGGCACCCTGGGATTTGCAAGACATGACAAGTTTCTGCAGAATGTTAATGTTCCTCCAGTTCACATGCCACCAGTAACCCTGGAAATTAGTTTCTTACTTATGTGTACAGTGGAATCCAGTAGCTGTAGTCTTTGTCTGCACAACTGATTTGCTCCTGAGACTTTTGTTTTCTTTGACATAACAGCAAAGAAGGAAAATGCTGTTGAAATGTGGGAGGAAGCACCTTCAGTGTTTTTGTTTGTGAGGCAGGTTCATGCTTCTGAGGAGCTGAGCTTTGGCTAAAAGCTGAAGGCTTAAAACTGGAGATAAAAAAAAGAAAAGAAAAAAACCCAAACAAACCTGTGTGAGACTACCCAGGCCCTACTGACTTGTGTTGCTTTGGCCTTGTGCCTTTGATTGAAGTTAGTATTGAACCCTTAATTAATGACTTTGCTACGGATTGTAAAACTGCCAGAGTTTGGCTTTTCAACGTATATGGCAAGGCTACTGAGGAAACAAAGAGATTTCTTAGAAAGTGGAATAAATGCTCACCAAAAATCTTCTGTTGTTGAAGTCTTAGACTTAATGTAATCAACTCTACAAATGGGACTGTGGGAGACTGTGTTATTTTTTGCTTTATGATTGGCTTGAGAGTAATAAGCCATTTCATAATGAGTTAAAGGAAGGAAACAATAACTCATCACTTTCCCAAACACACTTCTTGTCTTTTAGCTGAGCCTGTTGGTACAATTAATTTCTTTTCTACCTAATTCTTCCTGGGAAACTGAATCTCTTTGCAAAGTGTGGCTTTACTGTCCTTGTCCTTTAAATCTGAAGTTAAGATTGTTCAGCTCACTCTACCTTTGAGAACAAATGCTTGTTTCAGACTCCTATATCACATGTGAAATGGCACAAACCTAAATAATCTGATAAAAGCTCATCCGCTTCTTCCTGTTCTTTTGCAGACGTTACTTTAACTGCTTATTTATTTTTATTTCCTTAACTTAATATGTTGTGTCAGATTAGTCTCTGAGCTTCTCAGCCTATCTCAGTTCCACTACGTGCTCCTCCAGCGCAACAGAAGCTTTGCACGTGTTTGAAAATTTTTCTTTCGAGTACTTTGTGGTTCTTCAAACCAAAGCCTTAACTGCAGGGTCTGTAATCCATTTTGGTGTTTCAACATACTGGTATGCTTCTGACACTTAAGTCAAATGTTGTGGAAAGGCCATCTCTTCAGCCAGTGATTCTGTCCTTTTGCACGAAGAGCTGCCTTGGTTTCTCTCCAAGACCTTGAGTGCCTTGCCTAATTAAAATAAAACAAACAAACAAAAAAACCCCAAACCCAGCCTCACCCAGCTGTACTATTCACTTACGCTTTCACTGAGAAACAGAAATGGATCTGAGCACAGCCGCGGAGTGCTGCACAGCTGTAGGACTTGGAAGTCTCATACTCTGGGGTTTAAGCCACAGCTCAGAAAAGAATATGTACCTATTTGCTCAAAGAAAATTCAATAGATGGATGGGGCTACAGTTGGCATCTATTCTCTGAACTTTTTGAGAACTGAAGGCTCACTACAGGTCTTAGAAACTGGCATTTTTGCAAGATCTGTGGTATTGGCTGACAGGGACCCCTCTGTGTTTCACATGGCTTTCCGTTAACAAGATTTTCAACATTACATGCCAAGCTCAAATAGAGCTGTAATTTACTGCTCCAAATACTAGGCAAAGAATCTGCTTTGTTTCCTATTCTATACCAGTGTGACAGCGCAGCGATGAGGGATGCAGACAGGATAGGTTTTTGCAGCTAACATGTTTACACGGTTTTGTGAATCTCTTCTGCCCTTTATGACTACATCCCTTCAGCTGTGCAGTCCTAGAAATACCCCTGCAGGCGATTCAGCTCCTGATTTCCAGTGCCACACTCAGTATATTTAACAAGACCAGTAAAGCTGACATGTCAGGGTGGCTCCAAGATGCTGTCTTGTTGCTTCAGCAGAAGGGTTAAGAGTTTCCTGACTTTGGATTCTGGAAGAGTGGCTTAGGGTTTTTTGTCTCTGAAGTATTGCTAGAACTTACTGTCAAAGTCTGGAGGCCTCAGCTTCCACTAAAAACCAACCCTGAGTTCTTCAGCAGTGGATAACCTGTGCTTGCCAGGAAAACCTGCTGATTCACATGATCAGTTTTCAAGCTCTGACTTAAAGGCATGCGACCAGAGGCATGCTTCTTACTGTTTTGTGTGCTGTTCCCATCTTGGTGGTACTCCTCATGCTGGTATGTGATGATAGAATAAATAAGCCTTTTCTCAACAACCCCACTGGTACAGGTCTTAAACCAGCACAGGGGCTCTACCTATGGATGGTCCTCTGGGTCACTTATTCTTCTTGCACTCTGTTTTCCTTTTCTGTTCCCTGAAGTTCAGCCACAAGCAGTGTTCCTGCAAGAGCGGTGACTGCTGCTGTTGGGCTCTTTGCTTCAGCTCAGAGAGCACCACACAACCAGGGGTTTCTGCTTAGATCCATTCATCCTTGCTCAAGGCTTCAAAATGTTATGGGTGTTTGTGGCACTGGCTTCAGACTTCTGCCACAGTTTCTGAAGGCTGTTTTTGTAATTATTCTTAGCGCTGCTCAGCAATCATCTGCATGGAAGTCCATGTGTATCTTGTTTACTCCTTTGCCATAGCATTTGAAAGCCTTTACTTCATCCTTCCGTATAAATCAAACCATTTCTGACTCTCACGCCATGTAGATTCCTTTAGGGCAAGTACTATCTGCAAGAGGAAAAGAAGAGATCAGTGTAGTCCATTATAAGAGGATTAAAGAACTCTTATCCTTCTGGAAGGTCAAAAGACACCTGGGCATCTCTTCACTCAAAGGCAGAAAACAAGCCACTGGACAAAGGCGGTAACTTGCAGATTACTTGCTAAAAGACTCATACTGAACTTGGCTGCTTTAATGCACTGCTAGCTTGGTTTAGTCAGGGTGCCTGCTTGCTGGGAGCTAAGGATGCTGTTAGAAAGGTAATATAAGCAAGATGTAATCCTCTCTCTCTGCAGACACATCTGCTGCTGTCTTTTTTTTAATGTAGTGCTAGTCCTGAATAATTGCTGGAGTACAGCAAATGTAAATTCAGAAAAGTTGGGTGGGTCTGTGAGCATGGAGGGTGAATACCAGATTCTAGTGTCTCAGAAAGGCTGGAAGCAGCAGCGCTGTATAAGCCATAGTTTCAGCAACAAACCTGAAGCCCGACTTCAGTATGAGCAAAAGGGATGTTGACAGCTCTTAGCAGAGGTTTTCATCAGCACAAACGGAGAGAATATGGGTCTTATTGAGGATATAGTTCCACTAACAGTCTTAAAGTGTTTTTCTTTGGGGGCTGGAGTTTGACTAATTGGGTCTTCCATGATTTGTCCTTAAGTTGTACAAATGTGAAAGATCTGATAAATAGACTTTCATCTGTTCCTGCTCTTCCCCTCTCCCTGCACTGCTCAGTGGGGGGTGAGGACCAGAACCTTTGGCTTTTTGAACGGGGAAGAGGTAAGCGGGTTGTGTGCAAAAAACCCCTTTTTGTCAGCACCCGAATATTGTGAAATAGCATCAGTGAATGACATTATAGCTCTGGGAATCAGTCGCACTGTGATGGTGGCTGGGACCCAGCAATGCAAATACTTAACACAGAGTCTTGTGTTTGAGCAATGTAACAGAAGCTGAAGCAATGCTGTGACTTTGCCTGTATAAGTAATGTAAACCTTTGATGACCCAGGAGGCTTCTCCGCTTATAAAATCATTGTAAATGGATCAACTGAGGCATCCAATTGATTACCAGGATTTAATATTTTTGCAATTATGCTAGTATTTATTGGTGTATAACAATTCCAGTAGGTAAGAATCCACCTGTTTATGTGCAAAGATGAGTTTACTCCACCTAGAAAGGTGAGAAGTATCCTTTTTTAATCTTCTTTGGTTATAGTACCAAGCCATGAAATTATATTACACACTTTAATAAACTTGTAATTTATTTTAAAAAGAGCTGAAGATGTCTCAAGTGGAAGTGTGCTTTACTGGTCACTAATACGCAGCTCTTGGGTGACAGCAGTACACACTGGGATTACTTTGTGTAAATCTCTAGCTCAACAACTGGAGATCTCTTGTGCAAGTTAAAAACAAAAAAAAAAACCCCAAACCCACAGCACTGGACGAAGCTGGCAGAGCCCCTTTTTATGTAACTGGTCACAAGTAGAGCCCCTGTGAACCTGTGTGAGTAATGACATACTTCTGCTTTTCCACTAGTCATCTAATATTTACTTTTTGTCTAAAAATAATTTAGCTACAACCTTAAGGTGCCTCCTGCAACCATACTGTTCACGACAGTGATGATTCTTGGGCCTTCCAGGCAAGCTTTTATTATTTCCACCATTTATAATGCATTCTTATCCTGAGCAGATAAGCCTGAAACCCACGCAATGTGGTTTTGGCTTCAGTCAGTGATTTGGCCTTTTGCTTTTCTTTTGATGCTTGATTAGGGGCAGGTGAGACACTTCAGAAAGGTGAATTTCAACCCTCATGGCAGGGGAGGTAACACTTTCTCAAACAGCACAGGCACAGCTTAGCAGGCTGCTGTCTTTTGTATCCTGGTGGCAGCCTCGCACCCCTGCTGGAGGCTGCAGGGATAAATGTATTCACAGCCATCTGCCCGCTGAAGCTCCAGAGCGCTTCTCCCGTGCTCCTTCCATCCTTGCAGATTTCACCCAGCTGTTGATGATGCTCGCTTCGAGCTTGCGCACCTCTGTGACGGATGGGGGGTCAGCTGGATTGTGTCCTCTAGAGAAAGCAGAGCAGTGTGAGCTAGTCAGTGGGCAGCAGCTCTTTGCCTTTTGCACAAGGAAAGCCAAGCCAGGGAACTGAAGGATAGAGATTATCTGTTTTGTACTTCATCTTTATGCCCTGAAAAACAAGTTACATTGTCACACCCACCAGGAGGTTGGGAGGCAGGCTTGAGAGCCCCAAGCTCTCCCTTGCATTGGTGGCTGCTGCCCTCTCTGCTCCGGGCCTGAAGGCTGATGGTTAATGCCAAGAGATGCTGGACTACTTCACATGACTGATTGCTACAGGCTATCACACACTTGAGCAAGAACATGTTCTAATGAAAGTACGTGAGCTTAATGCTGAGTTCTGCACAGCCCGGCTTCCCTGAAGGCTGTAAGAGCCCTGTACTGGGGAGGAAGATTGCTCTTCCACAGTTACGCTGCAACAGTCTGGTATCCAGTCCTCTTTAAGTATCTCCTGGTTCTTTGGACTGCGGCTAGCTAAGATCAAACACCCAGGGCAGTAGGATTTTGTCAGCCAAAGGAGAGTTCAGTACTTACCGGAGATCTAGGTGATGAGCGCCTCCTTTAATGGTCAATGCAATTAGTGAAGGACTGAGACTGCTATTTATCTGTAAGGAAAAGGAGCAGAGACAAACTCTGACCAAGTTACCAGGCAGAACTGGTCATCAGTACTGAAAACTGGAAGCCAAGTTGGGCAGGACAGAGGAAAAGCATGGGAAGGGATCCTTGGTATGGCTGATAGAGTGTGCATGGCTAACAGTCCTAATGAACCGAATCATCTGTCTCGAAGTGAAGGCTTCCCCCAAGATGAAAACTGTCAGCCTATTCCAGTACAGGTGGTTTGAAGTAACAGGTTCTTTTGGGCCCATGCACCCTAAGCAGCCTGTTCCTCTTGCAGCTGGGATTACCAAGCCAGCCTAAAACAAGGAACTCCTGCATTACAATCAGGAGCTCAACTAACTCCAAATCCAGTTCTGGGTCATTTTTGGGTTTAAATTTTAAACTAGAGTTCTGCCACCACTCTGAAGTTTTGTTGAACCTAAGCCAAAATATGCCCTGGTTCGAGTTGCTGCTTACAGCAACTGCTTGGTCTCACAAAGTATGCTGAGACTGGAGATAGCAAGGAGCACTTGCTGTCAGCGCTGAGACCAAGTCTCGACACAGAAACACAATGGGTTGTGTTCAGACCCTGGATGTTGGGTAAGAAGGCTCCTGCTGTGTCTGTACCTTTGCTGCATCAGTGTTCCTGGCTGATGGACTCTAATGGACTGATGTCCTGAGGCTCCTGAATGGTTCAGCATAAAACAGCTGCTTGCAGAAACCCAAATGGGGTAAAGATGAATTGCCAGTGCTTCTTTGAAAGGGAGAGGGGGCAGTGTATCACCTGAAAAGGCTGCTCTCTGTGTTCAGTGTGCAGGAGTGCACATGCTTACCCCACCTCCAGCCCACGGGTCCAAGTCTCCATTTGAAAAAATGATGTTGCTTGCACTTTTCAGGTCTGAAATTCAGAGAGATGACATTTGAGAGGCCTCCTTCCTGCCCATTTACCCAAATGTGTTTGGCTATGCTGCAAACATGGTCAAGAACAGAAAACACAGGAGAATAAAACAAATTCTTGGCAGTTTTTAGGTTTCCACTTCTGTCTCAAGGAGGTATGGAAAGGTCTGTCTCAAGTCAGCACAAGGCTGTGACTGCCAGGACTTGTTAGTGCACTGTGCCTGTCCCCATGGAGCTCAGCTGGGCAGAGGCGGGACAGGCAGACAACTATGGGGCAATGCAAAGGGACAAGCAGCCAGCACAACTCACCTCCCCCCCAAAAGTTTGTCCGCAGCCAGTGTGCTCGTGGCCTCACATGCCATTTGCTCCGACAGTACTGCTCTCGCATGGCCTCTGTGAAGGGCATCTCGGGGAACATGTCGGTCACATTGTTGCTGTTGAAAGTTAAATTGATCTCGGTGCAAACCTAAGAGACATACAAGAGCTGTCATAGGGCAGGGGGATAACCAGGGCAGCAGCTGAAACTTGTTGATGTCTCCAACACCTTACCTGGTAGTCCCAGGCCTCAGCATCTGAGCCAATGCCACAGCCTGTGGGGTCAGCACAGGACTGGTACAGCTGGTATATGTCGTAACACTGTGCTGAGCCGGAGGAGTTGTAAAACACCCCTGCCAGGTGGGAACACAGCACAAAGCCAACCTGTCAGTACCTCTCTGCTGTCTCACCCACCACCTCCCACACAAACCTCACACGGCCAAGACCAAGCAGAAGGGTAGCTATCCCAGCTGGACAAGTGTGTAAGGCTGGGGCAGAGCTAGCAGGGTCTGCACCAGTGCTAGGTTACAATCCCAACTTCTTTATGCCAAAGCCTTCATGTGCTCTCAAGCATGACTGCCTGATACCCTTTGCTTCTGCTGTATTCACAGGGAGGAAGCCGCTCCCGGGTGCTCTTTGCTGTCTCTGCTCGTGCCAAAAGCCAAGCAACTGGCCAAAAGCAGCCTTGGGAGAGCCCTAGCCTCCAATCCCTAATGCACGCAGGAGCAGGCTGTGTGCAGCACATATTAGCTAAATGCTTCAAACTGGATGGGACACAACTGCTGAGACCTTCTCACCCCCCTCCCTCAAAGTTGCTGTCATCTGAATTCATCAAATTTAGTCAGAGGGCCAAGGGTAGCACGTCACAGACAGGATTTTGTTTTACTGTTGGTCAAGAAGGGAAAGAGGGCATGTGCAGGCTTGCCCCGATGAAAGAGCACCTGACTAGGTGGCCCAGCAAAGCATAGCTGGGGAGCTGCTGAAGAATAAGCTGCTTTTTTTTCTGTGTGGATGGGTAGTTACCAGATAGCGAGGAGGAGGAATGTGGCTACACTGGTGGCCGCCTGCTGCTGCCAGTGTCACAGCCCACAGGCAAAAACCCACAAACACTGTGGGTTTTGTGCAATAACTGGCACCAACAGCTCCACTTGCAAACAGCCCCACACAGCTCTGCAAGGCACACGGCACTGTGCCTGCAAAGCACTGGGCAGAGGCCATTGAGGAGGAAGGCTGCTGCACCTACTGCCTCTTGGATAGCTCTGTGGCACAGGCAGCACAGCCTCAGCTCCCTTGACACATGAAACCACTATTTCAGCCACAGAAGACTGCCCAAGAGATGCACTGAGTGCGTGCAGCGAAGAGTCCTGGGGTTGCTCCAGGTCTACACACCTTTCGAAGCAATGCTGCTCAGCTCACAGGCCAGCACAGCAAGGCTTGTGTCAGACACGTACCTGGCAAAACTCCTGGAAGGGCTCAGCAGCCTTCGCGCACAGAGAGCACTGTGCGATGTGACACTGGAGGCAGAAGGGATTTGCTTTCCAGCCCACAAGATCATTTTAGCATCAGCAAGCAACTACTGCAAGATCCTCTTTGTTGGAAACTTGACAAGAGCAGGGAGCCTGGATAGTAACATCAGGCTGAAAGCTGTCAGTGCTGCCGGGCTGAGGAACGTTCTCAACTTCATTTACTCCAACAAACTAGACCTCTCATTACAGAATATTGAAGAGACCTTCAAAGCTGCAGAAACCCTCCTAGTTCGGGAGGTGATCAAGCTGTGCTTTCGCTTTCTGGAGGGTTGCTTGAACTGTGAGAACTGCATGGATGTTCTTAACATTGCTAAAAAACTTGGCCCAGCAGAGTTGAGACAGAAAGCCATGTGCTACATAGGCCAGCATTACAAACAGATCCTGGCTGATCCTCAGTGCTTGAACGACCTGGACCGAGTAACCCTTTGTGAAATTTTAGACAGGACTGACACTGAGGGATGCAGCGAGCTGGAGCTGTTCAGAGTCGCTGTGAGCTGGCTGCAGCACGACCGCACGCGGCTGAAAGATGCAGCAGATATTTTAAGGCGCATAAGATTCCCTCTCATTCCTTTACGGGACCTGCAGAGATATGTCCAGGAAATGCCTCTTATGAGGCTGGATTCAGGCTGCCACAGGTACCTGCAGGAGGCTCTGAATTACCACTCCCAGCTGTATGCTCAGCCAGTCCTGCAGACCCAGAGCACAAGCCTTCGCTCTGGTTCCACTGTGCTGCTTGTTGCTGGTGGTAGAACCACTGAGAACTGCGTGTGTAGAGAGATGTGGGCTGCAGACCAGAGCTGCAGCACCTGGCACAAGGTGGGGGACCTCTGTGTGCCAGTGTACAACCACTGTGTTGTCATCATCAATGACTTCCTCTTTGTCATCGGGGGACAGTGCAAATTTGATCCCACAGGAAAGCAGCCATCAAATGAGGTAAGACACAAGAAACCTTCAGCCTTGGAAAAATGTCTGTGTGTGTGGAAGGGAGGGAGCAATTCCACTTGCCCACCACATATCTCCCACCTCTACATTTTTTTTAGCACTCTGTGCAGTACTGAAAGCCCTTGGGAATACAGCTTCCAAACTGTCTGGGAAGCAATCACGTCCTGCCCTGGTCTCACCTTGCTCCTACTGTAAATTGTCATCCTAATCTGTACACAACTTCCACAGCGCAGGTTCAGCCAGGTCCACATCAGTCAATCAGGCAACCCCATGAATGCTAGCTACCCCTATCCCCATTGTTGCTGCCATGGGACTCATGCTCGGGAGGCATGGTTAAAGCCTACCACTTCATTTGAGAATTGCTCCTTCCCTGGTTTTGCTCTTGAAAGGCAAATCTGCTTTAGCTCCCAGGCCCTTTCCCTTCTGCCTGGAGAGTAAAGAGACTTGTGCAGGACTTTATCTTTTCCTAGACGGCTTCAGTGAGCTTGCTAAAAAAACCAGCATGTTTTTCTTTCCCATGCTCCCAGGGGGCTCATTTCAGCATTGTACTTAGTTCAGCAGTGCCACTGCAAACAGCAACTCTCTTCCACTGCCTTGAAGGCAGGAGGCAGCTCAGCAGCAGCAGAGCAGAGGATGCTGAAGCAGCAGGGCTGCAGCACTGGCTGCTGGGCTACAGCCCAAGCCCAGCACTCACTGCATGTGGTTCTGCAGATACTGCCCTTGCTCAGTGACCTGGGCTTTCTCATCAGGACTGACAAAATAAGCCTGGGGAGGTATTTACTGCTGAACAAGATGTGAAGTGGAGGTGCTGTGCCCCTGTGGTGATGCCACCATGGGCAAGGGGAGGGGAAGCCACTCCTGCGTGAGAGCAGCGGGCAAAGCTCAGCTGCTCTCTTTACTACACAGCCAACCAGTAGCAGAGGTGCAAAATGTACTTGTTTAAATCTCACTGAAACAGTTTTCAGCTGACACATGCTAGCTGGTGTTTGAAACAAAGGTATTTCATTAAGCTAATGTGTTTCCATCTCCTGCTTGCTGCAAGCTGAGAGCGCAACCTGTTCACAAACCCCCACAGACCTGCAGAGAAGCCATAACTGAGCCTCCAGCTTCACTGGGGAGGTACTGCTGTTATCAGCTGGCTGGCACTGGAAGTTGAGCCTGGCCAGGTCTGAATATAAAACCTTCCTCTGTCCAGGGAAAACATTTAGCAGTTCTTGAAGCCACACGAGATGCAAGCCAGCCACCTGCCTTCTGCTAACCATCACCCATCTGCTGTGATCCTAGGTTTTCCGATTCGATCCCCGCAACACTTCTTGGCTCCAGGTCGCCAGCATGCTGGAGAGGCGGACACGCTTCCACGCGGATGTGCTGTCTGATTGCATCTTCGCCGTGGGTGGTGGGACACTGCTGGGGACCCTCACCCACACCGTGGAATTGTACCAGCCCACTGACAACAAGTGGGAGTTTGCAGCTCCTTTCCCTAGGCCTATTGCTGATCATGCAGGCACAACCCACAAGGGAATCCTCTATATTTCAGGTGATAGAGCTAGTAGAAAGCAGCATATTTTCATAGTTCCACTGATTTTTGCTGGCATCTTAATGTCACAGTCTAAGCGTGCACCCACACCAATAACACTCACAGATCCAGTGTCCCTTTCCTGCTGTGTTAGCACAGCCTCACTGCCCTCCTGAATGGCAGGAATTATTTTCTTTCTAAGTCGTTAAAGGTGACACCATCGTCTTGCAATCCACACCCCTCCTCGCCTTTGACCTTGCAATCCTGGCTAAATCCCAAAGCTTTGCTGTCTGAAAAGGTATACCAGGAGCAGGCTGCCATAGTGTTGGGGATGGGATTAAATCCTACTATTAACCTGAATGGAAGATGTGGGACTAACCCTACTGTGCTGCTTTGTTAACCTGTACAAAAAGAAGTATAATGCAGGCTCTTACTCTCTTACCCATGGAGCCTGTACAGCTCTTGCCCTAGAAGGGATCCTCAGTCTTTATAGAGATCTTTGGTAGATGGTTCAGGATATGTAACAATAAAGCAGCATGAGATTAAACACTCCAGGAAATTGTTGTAGGATCTTTCGCTTTTGCAGCTACTAATTTGGACTTGAAAGATAATCTTTGGTATGCCCTAGGAAAAGCACTGTGTTGTTTGTGTTATTGCCTCTGCAGTTAAAAGTCCTGGGCCAGTCTGCTATCACTCTAGGCTCCCTGCTTTGTAAACCCGTTATGGCCACCTGAGATCACTGTACTGATCTAGTCCAGATTAACTTCAATTGCACAGTTCCAATGAAGGGCACTTCTCTGTGATAGACTGTACACCCGAGGCCCCAAGGGCAGGGAAGGTAGCACACGGGCTGTCCTACCCAGACATGTACCCCAGTGACAGCAGGGCACTGCTCCTGCACTGGCAGCACAGGTGGATAATAGTTCAGCTGGGGGAATGGCTGAGACTCGGGCTCAAGTCCCTGCTTTGACTCAGCTGGCCCATGGTGCCACAGGTAGCTCATTTAACCTCTGTTGGTCTCAATTCCTACAAGAGAGCAAGGACAAAATTGCCTCACAGATCTTCAAACATACCATAGTGATCTAGGCTGGATAACAATATACCACTTGGGTATAAGATCTTACCCACCTATAGCATTCATTCATGTCTAAACTAGCGGCATAACTGCAAATTTGGTTTGGCCAGCCTACAGCCCTGCCCAAGCAAACTGAAAAATTAAGGGCATTACTTCAGTACAGGATTTAAACACAAGCTCCATGCAGACAAAGTGTCCACGCCCAGGTGAGCTGGGGCTTATGACAAACCTGAAATACCATCTTCCTTGTTTGCAAAGACTCTCTGAAGGCTGGAATTCAACAGGCAGGCAGGTGGAGGCATTTACCCTTCCCATAGCAGTACCCTCCTCCTGCAAGGAGCTTTTTATAATGCACCCGTGAAATATACAAGTGAGTGCCTAATAAGGAGAAAAAGTTAACAGCAGCACTGGCAGATTGGCTCTGACCTTCTGTTGAAGATTCGAAGTTCAAAGAGCTTTGAACGCTTTTCTTTCAAACCACCATTCTGTGACTGCATGCTGGAAGCAGATTCCCTAATTAAAGCTGTTCCTGGTTACATGTGAAATATCCCAAGAGCTTTATTCAAAAATCTTTTGTGGAAAACTATTTACAGAAAGAGCTGGAACTGGTTTGATTTTGGTGGTTTTTTTTCTTTAAAATACCTAAAAAGCTTAGGTTTTAAATTTCACACTGCATCAGCTCTGCAGAACAGTGTGAAAATTTAAACCTGAGCTTCTTAGGTATTTTAAAGAAAAAAAATCAGCTCTGCTAATGTTTGCGGAAGGTTTGCTGGATCTCAGAAAGGATGATGGATAGATTTTCAAGACTTCTGCTTTCCTTCTAGGGGGCTTCTCTGGAGGTAAAACCTTACGAGACACTTACAGCTACCTCCCTCGCCTCCAATGCTGGATTGGCAACAGTGCCATGGCTTTTACCCGTTGTGATCATGGGATGGCTACAGTCAGGGACAAGATCTTTTGTGTTGGAGGAAGGACACTAAAAGGAGTAAGTTCATTTGCTCTTATAATCCCAAGTATGGGGTCTTTGTAGTGCTAGGCAACCAACAGGTTGACCAGTAACTTCATTATTTTTGGTCTCTTGGTGAACTGGCACAGTTGCAAGTCAGGGCAATATGCTTATGAAAACGTGCCTGCCATTACAATCGTGCACATTAGAAGCTGCCCTGTTGTCACACTCTATTTGCTAGAGTACAAAGGCTGTTGCAAGCATTTTTTTAAATAGAGAAAACATACAGTGGAGCACAGCCTGCTAGCACAGGAAAACCTAAGTGTAAAGCTGGTCACATACCTGCCCCAAACACACTGACCACCTAATATTCCTTGTTCGAGCTGAGAGGGGGCAAAACACTGGGAGACGGGAAGAGGAATGGACTGCAGTGAGGACACTAGCCTAGATTTTAGGAAAGATGGGCTCAAGTCCTGGAATGCAAATGAAGTCTCTTCAAACCTGGATTTCCCATTTCTGAAAAAAGAGGGAAAGCACTGCCCAGCCTTCTGGAAGAAACCTGACAGGGACTGAAAGGCTCACTCTAGGAGAATCCCATTCCCTGAAGCCAAGAGAACTGAGTTTTCAAAGATCATTCAGCAATTCCCATTTGAAAGTGTAAAGACTCAGGGCCTGGCCTGATTTCACCATGACCGGTATGGTTTCTTTTGACGGAATGAGGGCATCTTAATTGCTCACTGAGGAAGGGATAGAAATCTGTAAAGAGAAACTGCACATCAAGGCTGACATCAAAATCCTCCAGATGATACAAACTCAGTTATTGTCCACAATTCAATGCAATATAGCCCTCTTTAGATGATTCCCTTTGTAATGTGTTAAAAAGTCTGGAGAGCAGGCAGGACTTGGGCTATGCCAGTTCCAGCAGGTCTCTGTGGCACCTTGCTCAGCTCACTCTTCTGATTTTCCAAGAAGAAGAAAGCTCCTTTAAAGCCACACCATTTTGATATTTTATTCAGTTTCTTTTGAGGCTCTGATTTGTAAATGTGGATCGAAAATCTGGCACCTTAAAGCCCATGGTATTCAAATAGATGTTGAGACACTGGTTTCCTGTATTATGAACCAAGCAAGCCCAATGTGACAGTGATGCCCACTCAAGGCATGATACAATGGGTGAGTGTTGGTCTGGTTCCTTGTAGGTGGAGGAATGGATTCATGTCAACGAGACAGAGTATTATTGTCCTGTAAGCAATCAGTGGACAACGCTAGCGCTATCCCCGTTCAACTGCTGCCAGTTCAGCATCACAGCCCATGACACGATGCTCTACCTCGCAGGAGGTGGGTCACTGCAGCACATGCAGAAAGAAGACAGTGTTTTCCTGTATGACACAGAGGGGCAGGTATGGAAGAAAGCCAGTCCCCTGCCTAAAGCTCTGGTGGATCATGCCTCCTGCATGCTTAAACTGTCCCAAGTAAATGCAGCTGGTGAGATGGGGAGAGGCACGAAGTGCTTCCCCGCAGGCAGGAGGAAGAAGTCTACCCTCAGCTTATTCATCACAAAGAAACAAGAGTCCCACTCTGCCTCAGAAAAGAAGTAGGATGTGAATACGTGAAGCAGAGCTGACAGTGTTTGCCAAGACATTAGTATTTTAAAACTCTTCTAGTTGCCAGCCAAACATCTTTAGCAGTGATTTGGAATTGGCATGTTTCTGACTTAGTGCTACCATGGTGACATGCATAATTTGCAAAAAAAGGAATTGGTTCCCAATCCTACTAAGCCACGTTAAACCCATAAGAATTCCTTAAATCAATTTTTTGCCATTCAGAACCTGTTTTTCTGAATAATGACCAAGGTAGAACTTATTTTTAACAAGCAACTTGAGAGATTTTATGAGGAATTCTCTCTCTAATAAATTCCTTACAAACACTGCTGGCTGACAAATTAAGTACTCACAGAGATAAATGCACACACTGTATTTAAGATTGTCTTGCACTGGATTAAGACCATAGGGCATTGTGATGACAACCTTGTCCTCAACAAGCAGACCAGAAAACTTCCTTCAGTGAATGCGCATTGAAACTGTGACTGCTTGAGCCAGAGTATGGGTAAACTTTTAGAAAAGAAACAAGTGCCTTAGAAGTCCACATCTCATGGACAGTCAACAGGCTGAGGGGCTGCAGTGGCTGAAAAACCTGACAAGAATAAGTTTGGAAAGGTGAGGGAATGAACCCATGGACCACCATGGGACATCCCGACAGACAAAGCCAATATGGGGCAAAACATCCCAGTGGGAGATCAGAGTCACACCAGCTCCCACGATACACAACCTGCACAACAACACAACAGCTCTACTTACAGGTGCTTCTAGAAAACAGGGTGTTAAATAAAAGACCAAACTGGTAATATTAACTCACCAACAAGAGCAGCGAGGCCTTCAATTGGGTCTGTGTGGGCAAGGATTTGTTCACAGCTGACCTGGATGAGACACATTACAGGCAAATTGCAGACAGAATAGTTAACAGTCTCTGCTCCATGGAAGGGCTAAGCTGGAAGATTCATTAAAATTACCACTTACACAGTTTATATTTCAGCAGCTTTCCAAGGGCCTAATGCAACAGGTTTGGGTTTTTTTTTTCCTCCCTTCTAGCAACAAAATACATAGAAACAAGGAGACAGGGCTAGGACAAACAGTTTCTTTACCAAGTTAAGCAGCTGTGCAGAGGCCATGGTGATACACAACAGTTTCTTACTCCTACAGTCAGAATATTTAATGCCCTTCTCAAGAAGGGGTGGAATAATTATTTCCATTTTACAGGTTGTTAAATAGACCCTAGAAAGGAACTGGATGCCCAGTGGAGCCACAGACGGCATCTCCTGAGTCCCAGAACAGCGTAGCCTGTATGACCTCTTGCACAGTATGCATTTTGCTCCAGGTAGGACTAGAAGCATAAATGCCAGCTGGTGCCTGAGAAGTCTTTGTAACCCCCTGAGAACCAGGCCCCTTTCCCACACTTTGCCGTCTCTGATTCTCTTGAAAGTTTTCAGGTTTTCCAGTCCCCATGGCAGCAGACTTTTCTCTGCATTATACTCTGAGGTATGTCATCTTCCTAGGTGATACTTAGAAAGGAGCCTGATTTTTAGATCTCCATCGCTACCCACCAAGAAAAATACATTTATGAAAGCATGTTGAGGTGGGCTACAACAAAGCTACCCTTTAAAAAGCTACAGGTTTTTAGTGTTTAAAAAAGTGTTTAAAAGCTGAAGTCACCAAGCTTGCACAGGCCTTTGTGTCTAAGGTAAAGGCAGAGCAAGGTAGGTAATGGTTCCAGCAAACCCTTCCCAACAAGCCTTATAGCTGTGCATTTCAAACACAGCAGTCATCATCACAGAGAAGTTTAAAATTTGTAGATTTACTGTCAGAGTGAAGGGCTGCAACATCTACCACTACCTCTGCCTGTCACCATCACTGATGGTGTGTGCCTGACAGCATCCCAGACTGTGCAGCCCCCTGCACTCTGGTCACCAAGGTGCACATCAGAAACCGCGACTCTTACCCGTGTCCTGGTACTCACCTCCACTGGATTGGCAGGGAGGCGACCCATGAAATCGGTTTTGTAAGGGTAGTCCATCATGGCCATCATGGTGAAGGCATTTCTAGCAAACCCAAAAAGCTGGTAAACATCCCCCTTGTTAGAGATCTTATTGCATGTGGCCATTTTGCTGCTGATTTCATCGTAGGCTGCAGAAGGAAGGAAAATGAAAGACATAGATGTAGGGTTCAGTTATATGGAACTTAGTTACTGGGCCTGAAAGTAGCTCATGGTCGCAAGAGCGTTCCAGACGCCTTTAGAAGGCCTTGAACAGAATAAACAAGAAGACAGAAAAAGAAAGATCCCAATTAGAAAAACACAGGTGTGCATTCCACAATAAAGGGAACTTGGCACAAACAACCTCAATTCGGCAGTTTAGCTTGACCAATTAGACTGAGACAAGTTTCGCATGCTCTAGTTAATATAGCCAATTATGTCCTATGTTTATGCGCGTGTACAGAGTGAGTATAACTAACTGTATCTTATGTTTATACACGTGTACAGTGTTGATATAACCAATCACATTTTATGCTTGTGCGTGTGGACACCAAATGCTTGCATGCAGCAGCCAGTCAAAGCTTCTAAGCAACTTAGAGAATTGTGTAAGAATGATCAGCTAGGCTCAATAAACTGGCGACTGTAATCATCATATTGGTGTTCTATCATCCGGACCCCACATGGAATAACCCTAAACCCTACACACAGACTTCAACAGAGGAAAATAATACCAGGCTTCAGCATCTTGTTTCACTCAGGAGTAAGGACATGCTGTAACACACAGATGAGGTTTCTAGTGGGAAGGACACATTACATCTAAATTTACACACACGTGGATGTTCAGGCACAGCCTTCCTGTACAGCTTCACGACTCTGTGTGGCCCACAGCCCACACTCTGCCCCTTGCAGAGCCACCGACACCTCCCTGGGGAGCCCAGAGGAATCAGCACCCACTGAGATGGAAGCAAGCCCAGCTGGCACAGTGAGAAGAGCAGCTTGGTATGAGCCTGTCCTCACTGGTGCCCCGCCTGGCTGCCTCTTCCTCTCCCTCACAGGCTCCCTCCCTGTGGTCTGCTGTGTCCTGCAGGGTCGTCTCCTCAGGCAAGCTCTCATGCAGGAGAGCAGGGTGCAGCATACAAGTCCCAGTGGGATTCAACAGCTGGAAAAACTGGCAGGGGAAAAAAAAAAAAAAAAAAAAAAAAGCTCCTTGGGAGCTGGGTACATTTGCAGTAAAAATTGCTAAGTGAGAATAGTGCTCACAAAATCACAAAGGACTCCTGAGATGTGCCTTCAAACTTCAGTGTGAAGCAGAGGGGTCAGCTGAAGTCAGGAAATCTGTCTTTGAAGACATTCCTTCAAGATGCACTCTTATACCTTTGCATTTCTGCTGGGGAAAGCTACTCCCTTCGTTTTCATCCTCTACATTTTGGAGTCACAGTTCCTGTCTGTCCTCATCATACTCTACGAGCTGCCCACCGGAGCCCGGCTGTCTTTACTTGGAAACCCAAGGCCTGGAACCTGCCTCTTGATCCTCACTTGAGAGCCTAAGCCTTAAATATGACCACCTTATCCACCCCACTGCAGAAAGTGTGGCCCCACACAGACCTCGAGGACCTTGGCTATTTAATGGTAATTTTTTTCTTGCTGTGACCCAAAGCTAAACAGGATTTTGGACCCCCAACTCCGCTGGGCAATTCCAGGACCAGCCCCTGCACTGAGACAGTGACAGCAGCTGTCAGAGGCACACAGCCCCCAATGTGCAGCACCACAGACCAAGACAAACCTTGAGACAGACCAACAACCCACCACAGCTGTTCCAACACCAGCAGGGCTCCCAGGAAATGCTGCATTGGCCCACGATATCTGGTCTGGCTTACTTGGGAGACATTGCAGAGATCTTCACCAGTCTCTGTCCTTGGCTTCACCTAACTGTCCAAGGCTAGAGACAGTGATGGCTGCTTCAAGACCTAGATTGCCTTCCAAATATTTCTCAGATATGTCCAGTGAGCTGAGCCACACAGTTGTCATACCCACCTGAACAGTTGTCAATGGTGTGGATGTTCAGGACAAGTATCTGGTGAAACACGAGTCTTTACCAGCATAAAATGCAGGTGTTTTGCACCTGCAGGGTTTTTTGCACAGGCGCAGAAAAGAGTTTCATTAACACTGTGTAAGCCCCCACATAGATGTTTTCATTGTGGTGTTGGTTACTAATTTTAATGCTAACTGAAACAGTTCATTAAACTGTGCAAGCAGAAAGAGGGGCCCAGGTGGGCATTTGTGTTGATTTAGCTGAACCAATTGAAGACCTATTTGAAGTAAAACTGAATCAACTTTTTTTTCCACATGGCTGGGACTGCCTGCTGGCTGCCCTTGGGAAGCTGTTTGCAGGGCTACCTCTTCTTACCTCCACTCAGGCACAGATCCTTAATCTGCTGGAAGGCTTTGCGGGCAGCTATGACGCAGCCTGGGCTGGACTTCTGAAAATCCTGAAGGGACAGAAAAGACATGGGATTACAGTTGCACAGAGGAGATATGTGTGGAGGCTGCACTGGGAAGAACTGCCATAAGTACCAGGAGATGCCAGGGGTTACTGGCCCACTGGTCAGAACCTCATCTGTGGCTCCAGGAGCAGTGACACCAGTGTTTCTGCCTTGTCTTCCAGACAATCAGCATGTCCCAGCAGAAGCCAACAGTCTGCACATCAGACCAAGCAGCAACTGTTTCACCAGGTCTTGCTGGAATGAGCTGTTAGCCAAAACGCTTTGCACTTAGTGAAGCCATTAGACTGAACGTGAAGCAGTGAAAGGAGACACATGCCTTTGCCAGGACATGGGAAGAGGGTGCCAGGCTGCTAGGCCCAAAAGTGTTGGGTTTGGTTTTTTTTTTTAACCACACAAGACAAGTCCTTCTAACTGCACTTTGTCTATGAGAAAGAGCCATGAAGTCAGTTATGCATGGAGGGTGAAGCACTGGTTTGGGAACCAAGACCTGCTTTTCTTCTTAAGCCTGCCAGTCGCCTGCCAGATGACCAAGAAGGCCATGTCCTTTTTCTCGGGAAAAACATTACTGGTCCTGAAAAAGCACTTTAAGGTATTTTTGAAGAGCTGTAGCTAGTTATGGTGGTGGAAGAAGTTGTTTCTGTCACTAAAAGGGTTTCTATCAACCCAAACTGTTTCTCTTCTGTCAGCTTGTAAGGCAGATTGAAATCTGCTGGCAACCAGTGCTTTGTAATAACGGGAATTATTAGGGCTCTTTTAAGGTCCCTTTACCCTGCTAGAGCCATGGTTAAGTAACACAAATCACTAGCTAAGCATTTTTCTTACAAAGACCGAGCCTCAACTAAAAATAGATTTGGGACATTGCTTGTATTCCTAACTCTGCCTTTGTCTGATAGTTAGGCTTACAGAAATCACTATGGAGTTTTCTACAGTTTACCTGGGCATTCCTTTAGGGATTCCAAATCTCCTTCTGGATGTGCTTATTGATCTTCATCTACTAATGGCTCTAATTGAAATGTGGGGATGAATCAGCCTGGGACAGAGGAGCAGGTCTGCTCTGGCTGCCGTGATGGCTGAGCTCCCCACTAGGCAATGCTGGAGTGCTGCAGCACACTGCCTGGCACACTAAGCAACCACCACCCATTCCAGTTCTCCCCTCCAGACCGTTATGGACACGGGAACAGTTCAGCTGAGCCATCACAGAAGCAGAGGCAGGAGGCATTACAGCCATTTCAAGGAAAGCTGTTCCCCCTCCAGGCTGCGAACTTTACTCTTTTGAATCACACCTAATTCAGATGCCTAAACTGACCTAAGCCGGTGGCCTGAACAGCCCCTGCAGCAGTAATCTTTTAGGAAGCATGGATGTGCCTGTGTCTGTAGTATTCACACATGGGCTTTCTGCACGGCTGCCCGCAGGGCAGTTGGCATATATAACCTAGCCTTATGTAAATGCCTTATGCAAAATCAACTTTCTGCCCTTTGCTCACATCCCCTGTGAGCTGGAGGCTTATGAAGTGAGCTGAAAAAGCTCAGTAAAAGTCACAGAGAAAGCTGCTTTGAGACAACGCACTCTGACTCACGGGAAGAGAGAGCTCCCACAATGATTCATGAAAGGTTTGTGCCTTCATTAGTATTAACAGCTCTCGGGGGTGTTCTCTCACCAAGAAGAGCAATTGAATTCAGATTTCAGATGCGCAGAGTGCTTTTATGCAAACACACTGAAGGTGGAAGGAATTACTTTGAAAACAACACAAAGCGCTTGCTTAGGATCTCAGCCCAGAGGTTAGCTTACCGCTACAGAGAGAATATATTTTAAAATGAATTGCAAAGTTTTTTCACATGAAAAGGTCAAAGCCCTAATTTCAGGGGCGTGTAATGACTCACAGCATATGCACAGCTGGAAGCAAGTCAAAGCTATCAGCTGAACAGGGCTTCTAAGAAGGAATTAGCTTCAACCAGGCAAGAATTCCCACTGCAGTGCCTAAGTAGTATTATGTTTTTTGTTTTAAAATGTATAATGTATGAAAAGACAAGATGTCTTTTATTATTTTATACACTTAGAGTTTCAAATGCTATTGTGTTTATTTTCATATGACAGTCTCTTCTTTACACTTACTAGTAATGCTATCTGTCCTGTAAGCCTCTGCATTGAAATAAGGTTTTCATATATGTAAATAAGAGGAAAAAGACCACAAGTTTCATACTCAGGTAGTTCATGCAAAGCCAACTGTGTCATCCAGATCTAGAAATTCATGTTGAAAAAGAGGCAAAACAGACACCGTCACAAGATTTCAGTACTAGCACATAGTACATCTCTTTCCTTATAAACTAAATGTAAGTCAGTTCTAAGCAATACCACCTTCCTATGGGCCCTATGTCCTCCAAATGAGAAAGCCACATTTAAATTTAGGTTTTAAGTGAACCCAGGACACCTGCATATTTTTAGTTAGTGAAATGAAGATTTCCAAGCTCTTCATTGAAATACAACCATCTTGGGACTAAGGAGCTGCTGTGAATCACTGATATCAATGCAAAATACATTTTGGGAGAGCATTTGAAGAATAAGTTATCCAAAGGAGCTTCAGCCAGGCACAAAGGAAAACTTTCAGGCTGTAATATGGTCAAGTCACTAGAAATGGGAAAGGGAATCCTTAGTGGTACTAAAGGTGCTGGAACCAAGTAGTGCTGCTCATTAGAGCAGCACCTTTGGGACCTGAGCTGCCACAGCTAAGGCAGTGCTCAGCCATCACATCTGCAGCTGCTGCTTTTCCTTGCGGGTTCCCATTTAATTGCATTCCCTGCCCAGCATTGATGCTGTGAAGACAGACATGGAAAAGGAAAAAAATCTAGCCTTCTTAAAGGAAGAAAATAATGCTGCTTAAAAGAGATGCTACTTACTGCTGTTACATCTCTGAAGAACTGGGTGGGGTCTCCAAGCCCAGCCACAGACAACAGAGGAGCACTGGCAGCTAATGCTCCAGCCACAATGTTTGGGTATTTCATCCTCATGTAAGCACTCAGCATTCCTCCATAGCTGCCATAGGAGAGACAAAAGTTATTTCCTTTAACAGACAGCTTGTAACATCGTAACTCAAAAGTTCAGGCCAGCATTCACAGGCTCACCTAAACCAAGGCATGATGAAGCTTATGGATATCTAGCAGATGCCATCCTCATGTAAAAAGATCCAGTTACAGTCAATGAGCAGCACATAATGTGTTCTTACTGGCCTTTTCCCAAACACTCACACCAACTCTGGTGGGAACACAGCAGCCCAATTTGCTTCTGCCACCAAATGTAAATCCTGCCTTAATGTTTAACTCTGTACCATCCTGAGTGTGTCCCGACAGCTTCAGTGCAGAACCAAGTGAGGCTCAAGTGAAGCTGTCACTGTTCAATGGGGGAAGGAGACACATTTTGCATACAGGATTATAAAGACTAGCTAGGCTCTTACCAAAGGGTGTCCCTGAATACTACACAATTTGCAGCCCTCTCTAGTGCTGGGAAGTGGAGAGTATTCTCCCCAGGCATCCCAAATAACAGCTGCATAGATGATCAGCACAGATATAGGGGAGACATTAACAAATACCACAATAAAACTCAAAGCCACCTTGGTAGCTTCAGTGCCAGGGCCACAATCTGCAGATATATCAAGGGTTGCTAGATAAACCCAAGGTGTCAACAGTTATTCATATGCCAGTGTTTGTAGAGTTACTCTGAGGTCACTCCTGGGGGTGGCAAATGACATCCCCAAAATGCAGGTAAAACCTGGTCTAACTCCAAGCTTACAGGTATTCAAGTCTCCCTCCCCACCACCTCAAGTGGTTGGAGTAAATATCATTCCTGCATCACCCACATGTAAAGCAATATGCATTTCTCTAACCCTGGTCTTGGAAACAGGCATTAGCTGAAACCTGCCATGGGTAATTTCAAGTTAAAGTTTGGCAAAGTTATAAGCAACAGAAGAGGGATTTTCTTCCTCCCATGGGAAATGCTGTGCTGCTCCAACACTGCCATATTTCAGTATTCTTCATACAGGTTTACTGCTGTTCAGGGCTGCTGCAGACTGAAGTCTGATTTACACACACAGAGCTGTAGTCTAACATGCAGCCCACCTAGCAGGTTTTGCTGAATCCCTCTCCCACCTCCCCAGCCCAGGACAGCTCCTGGCTCTTTTTACACTAGCTACTGTCCTGATAGTCACAGTACAAACACCCCCGAGATCAACAGTTCAGTCACCACCACAGTGGGCTGGAAGCTTAATGATAACTGTCAGGTCAAACGCTTTTTAGCTCACTGCAACTGAATTAGAAGCCCTGTACTTGGTGGAAGCCTTTTAAAGGGAAGCATCCCTCTACTACAAGTGTGGGGACCCATTCCAGAGACAAGGACATTGCATCAACACAGCTGCAACAGAGCAAGCACTTTGGGGAAGGACTTCTAGAAAGCAAGGAGCAACCAAGCAGCAGGTCGCAGAGCAGAATTATAAAGGAGCCTACAATGAAAATGGCTGGACGTTATTAAAGAGGCTGTGTTTAATAAAAAGCTGGGTGGCCCCTGGAAAGACTATTTTACCAATTATTAGTTTTCTGTATTTCCAATGTAAAATGTTCTGACCTTTCAGGAGGAATTGCCCAGTTTCTGCAATTCTGGCTGACTCATACATTGAAGATGCCTAGAAACATCCAGTCAGTGGTGCTTCTCCAAAGAAATCACAAATCAAGACTAATTCTTGATGGGAGAGCTGACTGGGACCTGGTGATGAGCTCTTGGGAGCTCGGGCACAGGCACATCTGCTCTCTATTGGATAGCTTAAAGCTCTGCCTTTATAACTTGCTTGAGAGCCAGAGAGCTCTATGAGAACAGCACGACTGTGGCTGGGAAAGGATGCAGAGAAGGGGAGGAGCATACGCAACCTTTACCTGCCTCCAAAAGCAATGACAGGGCAGTCTGCAGCACCGTACTGCTGCTTAAGCTCACTAATTAGCACTGCATAGTCAGCGAGGGCTTGTTCCACGGTAAGCAGACCAGTCTTCTTCAGCTGTGTTGACTCAAGCCCAAATGGAAGAGACTTCCCATAGTACCTCTGAAAGGAAAGAGATATGCTGAGGAAATGATGGGAGTCAAGGTCTGGGTCTCCTCTGTTCTCACTATAGAACTGGTGTAAGCGTGCACAAATGGGAAGCAGTAATAGAGCATGTGGTGTCCTCTAACTTGTTCTTAACTGTGGAAGTGCCTTGTCTCCTGCATCTGATAAACAGAGACCTTCAGGGTGTATCCTGTAGAGGATGGACAGTCCATGACAAGCTAATTCAGTGGATGCCAAGTGGGCCCTCTCTCCTGAAAAATCCCCAACTAGAAAAGGGAACAGGGTAATCTCTTCATGCATAAGTTGTGGAATAGTAGATTTAATAGAGTGGTGTGCCTAGGGAAAGGTTGGCTTGGGACTTCTCAGGCTAGATATTAAATACTATCCAAAGAAAATAACTCTTTAATCCAGTGTGGAGTTCAAGGCCTATGGAAACTACTTACAAAAGCACTGGTCTAAAGCAAATACACCATGGCATAGATTTTACTGAAACAGTCTGTATCCTGGATTGCTGGTAGGCATAGTAAAAAAAATTCAGAAGCCATGGTTAAATAAAGAAGAGCTTCTACCATAAGGATAAAGCTTAGAGCAGGTATACCTCAGCTTCATGGCAAGAGATGTTATTATTTTTTTGGACCTGCAGAAAGCTGAATTCAGTAATACTGAAGAGAACAAGACTCTAGAGTACACATAATGACTTAAAATACTCACATGCTCAGCAAAAATCACAAGTGCTTGCTGTTCCTCTGCTAATTCAAATATGAAGTCAGAGTTCTGAGCAAAAGTCCAGATGTCACCTTCATTGCCAGTATAGAAGAAGATGGGTCCATATCCTTTCTTCCAGAACTTTGCTAAGTGAGACAATTGACAGAAGCAAATAATAATAATAAAAAAAACCCACCAAAACCCACATGAGCATGAAATGATTCTACTTTTGGTGAGTTTGGACAGGAGCTTAACAAGGAAAAACTGTAAACAGGCTGATCCCTGAGACCTGAGCTGGGGCATAAAGGCGTTAGAAAGGCCAGGCTACACAAATCTCTCATTTGAGCAGGGGTAAATAAGAGCTTTCAAGAGATCAGCATGTGGCCTGGAACTTATACTTCTGCCTGAAAATTCCTAAAATCTCAGTTCTGCAAGGCATTTGGAAACAGTTGCCCCCCAAAAGAGCAATTTCCCATTTATATACCCTTTTCAGCCCAATTCATCCCCAAATACTTGCACAGGTCACTTTTCCCACAAAATGGACGTTAAGGAATTGCCCGCATCTTTCTGCTGCTCCTGTGGTGAGATGTAACGTAGAACCAAGCTGTAAATCACATATCATAGAATGGTTTGGGTTGGAAGAGACCTTCAAAGATCATCTAGTTCAACCCCCCTTCCATAGACAGAGACATGTTCCACTAGATCAGGTTGCTCAAAGCCCCATCCAGCCTAACTTTGAACACTTCCGGGTTGGGGCATCCACAACTTCCCTGGGCAACCTGTTCCAGTGTCTCGCCATCCTCATAGTAATAAATTTCTTCCCTATATCCAATCCAAATCCACCCACATTCAGTTTAAAAAAGTTGCCCCCTAACCTGTCACTACAGGACCTGGTAAAAAGTCTCTCTCCATCTTTCTTACAAGGCCCCTTGTATGGAGTTTCTGTGGTGGGGTTTTGGTAGCAGGGGAGGGGCTGCAGGGGTGGCTCCTGTGAGAAGTTGCTAGAAGTTTCTCCGGCTCCAAGTCACCAAGGCCGACCCCATCAGCGATGGGGAGAACATATTTAAGAAGGGGATCCTACAGCAGGGGAGGAGATTGGAATGTGAGAGAAACCCCTCTGCAGATACCAAGACCAGTGAAGAAGGAGGGGAAGGAGGTGCACCAGAGGAGGTTGATGCCCCTGCAGCCCCTGGTGAGACGGCAGGCTGTCCCCCCCCAGCCCAGGGAGGTGACCGGGGGAGCAGATGCCCACCTGCAGCCCGGGGAGGAGCCCACACCGGAGCAGGGGGATGCCCCCGAAGATGGCCGGGACTCCACGGAAAAGCCCGCACTGGAGCAGTCTGTGCCTGAAGGACTGCAGCCCGTAGAAAGGACCCACACTGGAGCAGTTCATGGAGAACTGTCTCCCGTGGGAGAGACCCCAATGCTGGAGCAGGGGAAGAGTGAAGAGTCCTGCCCCTGAGGAGGAAGAAGTGGCAGAGACAAGGTGGGATGAACTGCCCCCAACCCCCATTCCCCATGCCCCTGGCGGGGAGCAGGTGGAGAAAATCAGAGTGGAGTTGAGCTGGGAAGGAGGGAGGGGTGGGGGGAAGGGGTTTTGAGATTTGGTTTTATTTCTCATTATCCTGTTTTGATTTGATTGGTAGTAAATTAAATTGATTTTGTTTTTTTGCCCAAGTTGAGCCTGGTTTTTGCCTGCGAGCATAAGTGGTGAGTGATCCCTCCCTGTCCTTGTCTCGACCCACGAAGTTTTCTTTATATTTTCTGCTCCCCATGCCACCATGGGGGGAGGAGCGAGCAATCAGCCTTGTGGTGCTTTGTTGCCAGCTGGTCTTGAACCACAACAGTGTTGAAATCAACACTTAACTGATGTCTGAGGTCTGTTGTTGAAGAAAGCTATTTATTATCCCTCTTAATTCCTGTGCAATTTAAGACTAAGCTAAAATCAAATGTTTGTTAAAGTCAGCAAGCATTAAAGCAACTGTTTGTTAGATAAGCAAGTATTAACATCATGGGTCAGCTTGTCCTGCCAGTCTCAATTTGCCTTCAGTTATAAACAGATTAGAGGATGAAGCACATCACCTTCATATATGATCATATATATATATCATATGATATGTGTGTGTGTTATATATATAACATATATCAGCATATCAGCAGCAGCATATCCTGGGCTGCATCAAAAGCGTAACCAGCAGGTCGAGGGAGGTGATTCTGCCCCTCTGCTCCACTCTGGTGAAACCCCACCTGCAGTACTGTGTCCAGCTCTGGGGTCCCCTGCACAAGAAAGATATGGACCTGTTGGAGCGATTCTAGAGGAGGCCATGAAAATGGTCAGAGGGGTGGAACACCTCTCCTGTGGGAAAGGCTGAGAGAGTTAGGATTGTTCAGCCTGGAGAAGAGAAGGCTCTGGGGAGACCTTGTTGCAGCCCTTCAGTACTTAAAGGGGTGTTGTGGTTCAAGCCCAGCCCGCAAAAAAGCACCATGAAGCTGCTCGCACACTACTCCCTCCGCACCCATCCCTTCCCCCCATGGGATGGGGAGGAGAAAACATGAAAAAAAGTCATGGGTTGAGACAAGGACAGGGAGGGATCACTCACCACTTATGGTCACAGGCAAATAACCAGGCTCAACTTGGGCAAAAAACCAGGCTCAACTTGGGCAAAAAACCAAAATCAATTTAATTTACTACCAATCAAATCAAAACAGGATAATGAGAAATAAAACCAAATCTCAAAACCCCTTCCCCCCCCCCCTCCCTCCTTCCCAGCTCAACTCCACTCTGATTTTCTCCACCTGCTCCCCGCCAGGGGCATGGGGAATGGGGGTTGGGGGCAGTTCATCCCACCTTGTCTCTGCCACTTCTTCCTCCTCAGGGGCAGGACTCTTCACTCTTCCCCTGCTCCAGCATTGGGGTCTCTCCCACAGGAGACAGTTCTCCATGAACTGCTCCAGTGTGGGTCCTTTCTACGGGCTGCAGTCCTTCAGGCACAGACTGCTCCAGTGCGGGCTTTTCCGTGGAGTCCCGGCCATCTTCGGGGGCATCCCCCTGCTCCGGTGTGGGCTCCTCCACAGGCTGCAAGGGCGTTCCCTCCTCCAGTGCACCTCCTCCCCCTCTGACCTTGGTGTCTACATAGGTATTCCTCTCACATTCCAATCTCCTCCCCCACTGCAGGTTTCCCCTGTTGACTATGTTGTCCCAGAGGCGCTACCCCACTATCACTGAAGGGCTCAGCCTGGGCCAGAGGTGGGTCCGACTTGGAGCCAGCGAAGCTTCTAGCAGCTTCTCACAGGAGCCACCCCTGCGGCCCCTTCTCCGCTACCAAAACCCCCGCCACACAAACCCAAACAAACCCATTGCCACATCACCTAAAGGGACCCTCCAATAGCAGTTGTCCTACTGACACTGCTGTAGCATGTCACATGATGTCATTTCCATTAACAGAGAGGCCTGAATTGAATTCTTTGCATTCTCAACACAGACTTGCCAAAGCAGGATTTGGCTTGGAAATGGGTTTGAAACCTTTCATTAGCGAAACTGCTGCTCTTTGTTAACAAAGAGGCTGATTCTCTTTCTGTGTTGCATTTGCTTTCAGTATCAGGTAGGAAACTGAAGTGCTATCTTCACTGTAGCTTTTCTTCTGATAGGCTTCGTGGCTCCTGGAATAAACAACCATTCACAGGAGCCAAAACCAAACCAGACAGGTTGCTTAAAAACTTATCTATTTTTAGATTGAAATCCTGGGGAACTGCCAGCTAACCTCAAGACAGTCAGATGCCTCGTTGTGAAATAATAGTCTCCTTCAAGTTCTCACTGATAATCTAAAAAGACTCGTATTGCACAAGTAGCAGTAGAGGGGAAAGGAAGTACTCACAGGAATTTTTAGTAAGAAACTATTTGTAAACCAGCAGAACTGCAATGTTAGTGTTTTGTTTCTCACAAATATTATTCAGCTCTGCCTAGGCACACAGATAAAACAGAACACTTTAAAAAGAAAACAAATAAAAGTTATGCAATGCTTTAAACCAGATGATCCCAAAGCTCTGTTCATAAAGGGCCACTTAATTAGTGAAATTTCAGCCTTGAGTGTGTTATCAAAATTCACTGGTGTTCCCATTTCTTTGGGCTGAACTGATCCACAAATTCATGCTTGGTGAAACATATATGACTGGGTGCAGCTGCTGAACAAGCTGCAGACTAACAGGTGATGTGAAGAAGGTGAGATGCTGCATACAAGGCCCCAGACGCAGGCAGTCTGTGAGACAGAAGCAGGTAGGTGCCAAGCTGGGCAGCACTGGGCTGGTGCTATTCACAGCTCCGCCTTTGTTGTCTCCCTGCAAATCTCTCCCTGATTCCTCCAAGCAGGCAGGATTGAAAAACATGTGACACTGGTTATTGAAACTGCTGTCTTTTTAGACACAGACACTGTTCAGAAAAGCCTCCTCTCTCTTACTGTCTGTTAACAAAAGATAATACATTATTTGGCTAGAAAGGAAGACACCGCCAGCTCCTTGCTGGATGCCCTCATTGTTCAGCACAGCTTAAGCTATCTAAAGTTGCAGGTTTTTAATGCAAAACACCGACCCAAGAGGAGTTATCTTCACTCATACGAACGATGGGTACAGAGTGCAATGGTTAGGTCACTATCAGTTTTTCCTGCTGCATCCAGAGCACTGAGTTGCACTTGTAAGACATGCTGTGGCCAACTGAAAGCACACATGCACAGAGCCAGCCCTGGTGCAAGCCTAATGCAGCTGCTGCTTCTAGTCTGCTCTTGCTCAGGAGAGGCCAATCCCCACACCTGCTCCCTGTACCCGGTGGCCAGAAGGATAAATTGAAGGGAATGAGAGGAGGATACAGACCACGCCAGGGGCTAGCTCATGAAGGGCTGGTGCTCAGCTCAAACTGACTCCTGGCTGCTCTGAGCACCGAACGGAAGAGGACCTCTGTCCCGGTGCAGGAGCAGTTAAAGCTTAAGCGGACAGAAATTCAGCCCTGAGCCATAGCAAGGCCGGGCCACGCCAGGGCTGGGAGCAGCTCGGCTGCAGCACACCCCCCGGGACCCACCTGAGACCAGGTACCGCTGCGGGAAGGTCTCGTTGCCGCAGGTCTCGAAGCTGAAGTGGTCCCGCACCTGCTGGAAGAGCCGCTCCTCTAGGCCAGGCCCTGCTGCCCGGGCAGCTGGAGGAGGGGACCGTCAGCGCAGGGGAAACCGACAACCGGCGCCGCCAGCCGGTCCGGCCTAGCCCAGCGCTGGTAACCGGGGCCCAGGCGAGCCCGGGGCACCCGTCCAGCGCTCCCCGGGCCGGCTGGGCGCTGCCGCCCAGGGAGGCTGGTTCGAGGTCCCGTCCGGGGCCCAGGGAGGCCGGCGGGGGGAGTCCCACCCGGGGATGGGCCAGGGCAGTTCGGGGCTCCGGCCCGGGGCACCCACCGGGAGCGGCGCCGGTCAGCGGCGGCGGGATGAGAAGCAGGAGCGGCAGCAGCGTTTCCATGGCAACCATCCAGCTCGCGCCTCCGCTCCGCGCACACGGCATGATCCTCCTGCGTGGGAACCGCAGGCTGCTGCTCACATGATCCCAGAGCTTTCGGCATCACGTGGTGGCCTGCCGCCCCCTCACGTGACCACGTGAGCGCCATGCTTACCGAGGCACCGCCATGTTGCCTAAGGGGGCGTTCCCTCGCGGCTGCTTTCCCCCCACGCTCCGGAGGGGCCGAGGCAGGCCGGGTCAGGCGTCACCTCCTGGGCCCCGTGGAGGGTGTAGGGCGTCGGGGCAGGAGCCTCAGCGCGGGTCCAGGGATGCTGAGGCAGGGCAGGGTGGTGTGGGGCCTGCGGCGATGTGGTGGGATGGTGTGGCTGGCAGGGCTCTGCGTGCCCCCTCTGCTCCCCGTCGTGCTGCTGGCTGTTGGAGGCAGCAGGTGTGCTGTCCGTGCTGACTGGCCTTCACGGCTGTGGTCTCGGTGCTGGGAACCCACGTTATGGCATGGGGGTGAGGAGGGTGGAAGCCAGGGAGGCTCAGTGCTGGCGCTAGGCCGCTGTGCCCTCCCCACAGGTCTGGGGGGAGCTGCTGGGTGGAGGACAGGGTGTCTCCACCCTGGCCTTGCTGCTGGCTTCTGCCTTTCAAACCTCTGCAGCATTTACCTCCTGGTGCTGAATTGGTGCTGCCGCCCTTTGCAAAGACAAGTGGTGCACCTCAGGTCCCCTCCATGATGTGTTCACATGAGAAGGAAGAGCTGGGGTGGAGTGAAAGCCCAGCCCAGCCAGCATGCAGGGGCCGTGGCAGCTCAGCTCAGTACTCAGTGGAGGTGAGGGAAGTGGGAATGTAGCACAGAAGGAAATTGGGGTGAGGATCCATGGTGGGGTTTGTTGGCTCATGTCCACCTCTCTGGTGAGGAGTGGTGGGTGAGGGAGCAGCAGATGAGAGGAGGTCTGGAGGATGCCCATCACTCTCGGCAGGAGGATGTAAGTGTGTGACAAGAGTGGAGCGTGTCCTTGTGGTGTTGATACACTGATGGCCCTGTGGTTGAGCATACTGGCAAGAGAGGGAGCTTACGCTGCTCTGAGAGCAAGTCAGGAGCAGCATGAGATTGTTTAATGAGAGATTTCTCTAGGTTTTTCATTCCAAAGGGAGGGCCCAGCAGATACTGATGCAGGATGTTTTTCTGAGTACAGTGGCGTTGCTGTTTCTTTGCCCGATTGTTTGCTGATCAGTGGTGGATGGGGGGGTTCTGTATGTTGCAAAATGTGTGAGAGATTGCCTTTGGATGGCCTTGCAGTTTCTGGGCCATCCTGGACGAGCCCCCGCTGAAGAAGATAAGGACTTTAGCCCTTTTAGGTAACTTAGTTTAGAAGTATCCATGTGAATTACGTCAAAATGTAAGCATAGATAATAGAAGCACTAACGAGCATTCTTTAGGATAAGATGTATCAAACATGCAGCAGATCACACTGCGCAGAATCATCCGAGAAGGGTCAAATAGCGGACAAGTGAGGAAGACTCCTGAAGACCACCAGAGACCTTCAATGTGCCTGTGTAAAGGACATTTGCATATGCTAATAGTTTCCCAGAAAACTAATGAATATGTATAACATTTCTCAGAAATCTAGTGAATATGTATATAGAACATGTACTTAACCTGCACAATTAGGCCTGATGGTGTGCACAATAGGTGGAGCGATCCCCCATGCACCCAGCACTACAATAAAGAATGCCTGCTTTCTAAAACTCCAAAATTGAGTCTTAGAGAGTTTCTTCGGCTTTTTTGGTATCAATGCCCCAAATGGCACATGGCCCTGAAGGGAAATGGAAATGGAGAAAGTTGCATTGCAAACTGGGCAGGGCTGAACGTGATGGTATGGCTGTAAGTGAACTCAGCAGTACCTATGATCTAGCTTGATCTTGTTATGCCAAGTGCTGTATAAACATGCAAAAAAGGTCAGGTTTTACCCCAAAGGGTCAGTATGTTGTCAGCTTATTCAAAATGTTGCAGACACTTTACAAGATGTCTGTGAATGAAATAGAAGTTTATATTTTATAAAGGAAGAGTTTTAGCTTATTAAAGACCAAAGGAGCTGTTACAGGAAGAAGGTTTCAAGGATGTGGTCATGGGTGGGAAGCTGCAGAAGCAGCATTTTCACGTCTACTATTACCATCTGCAACCACACAGTGGCAACCACAGCATGGGAGATCGGTCTGCTTCAGGTGGTGTCCTGGTTTAAGGCCAATGGGCAACAAAGCACCACGAGGCAGCTCGCTCACCCCCACACTCCCAGTGGAATGGGTAGGAGAAAATACAAAAGAAAACATTGTGGAGACAAGGACAGGGAGGGATCACTCACCACTTATGGTCACAGGCAAAAAACAGGCTCAACTTGGGGAAGAAACAAAATCAATTTAATTGACTACCAATCAAATGAAAACAAGGATAATGAGAAGTAAAACCAAACCTTAGAACACCTTCCCCCCACCCCTCCCTCCTTCCTGGCTCAACTCTACTCCCTATTTCCCCATCTCCTCCCTCCAGTGGTGCAGAGGGATGGGGAATGGGAGTTGGGGTCAGTTCATCCCACCTTGTCTCTGCCACTCCTTCCTCCTCAGGGGCAGGACTCCTCCTCTTCCCCTGCTCCAGTGTTGGGGTCCTTCCCACGGGAGACAGTTCTCCATTAATTGCTCCAGTGTGAGTCCTTTCCACAGGCTGCAGTCCTTCAGGCACAGACTGCTCCAGTGCGGGCTTTCCCATGGAGTCAGGGCCATCATGGGGGGCACCCACCTGCTCTGGTGTGGGGTCCTCCATGTGCTGCAGGGGCATCTTCTCCTCCTCCCACCGTCGCTGATTGGGTTGGCTGGGGCCAGAGGCAGGTCTGACTTGGAGCCAGGGAAGCTGCTAGCAGCTTCTCACAGGAGCCAGCCCTGCAGCCCCTTCCCCGCCACCAAAAACACTGCCACACAAGTCCAAAATGGGGTCACAAGATAACAAAACCAGCTGGAAGTAAGATCCAGCCTGGCTTGGGGTGATGAAAGAACAGCACTAGGCTTGGAGGATGTGTGAGGTGCTCTGGCCAGGGCTTCTCTAGGGCTGATTTTGTACTCAGGTTCCCACCGGAGGAGGTACAGAGATCCTGCCTCCTTCTTGTCTGAAACTTGCATGAGATTTATCCCTGATAGACTGGTCACTTGATTGAAAAATGTTTTTTAGTGCATTAGGACTTAAACAGTATTATGCTTTCTTTATGAATTTAATAGAATGAAAATATTAGGGGACTTCTGAGCAGTATTTCCATTATGTTATTTTTTAATTAATTTCCTGCACTCCCACATTTGTGCTTTCAGTAAAGTGTCATTATAATTAAGACTTTGAAATCCCTGATTTTTGGGGGGCTGTTGTTTTTAAGACTGTTTTGGCTTGATGCTCCTGAGAAGGTTTATTTCTGCAAAGGATGAGGCTTAAGCAACTTTCTTCCCACCTCCCCAGAGAGGAGAAGGCTGTGACATAGGAGGCTCTTCAGCTTCATAAACCACTGGATGGTCTTCAGATGTGTTAGTTTAAAATATGAACTGATACGAAGAAAAATAAAGACATTAGCAGGAAATTGTTTGCTTTTGCAGTGGAGAGGAAAGGCTGGAACTGGTCCTTGGAGCGGGTCCTATGTTGGCTCAGGGTGAAGGCTGTGCTGCATGCAGCAGGATTAAAATCTTATTTTTAGACTACTTCTTATTTAAATTCTGTCCCAAAGAGCTTTGCAGAGTTAGGGTACAAGTAGTGGCTGTGAGGTGTGTAATCCAGGGCTTCAAGGGAAGAAGAAAGGATTTGTACTCATTGCCAAGTTTTATGAAGAGGTTAGGGAAATCTATGAGGTGACATGGGCAAAGACATTCCTCCTGGGTTGAGGAAAAGGTTTTTCACCAAAGCCTTTTGTGTAAACCAATCCTAATAAAATAATGCCTTTAAAAAGGCTCTTAATATCTTCAGAAATGAAAATACTTGCTGGTGGATGGGACAAAGAGCCAAAGGTTTTCCAAGATCTGAAAAGACAAAGAAATAGTCTGGGTTTGTCCCTCCCCTGTCAATAATATTAAACTCATCCAAAGATACTAAACCGAGAAGGCAAGTCCCTCTCTGGTGGTACTTTCAGGGTGTCAGCCCTGGGCAGCTCCAGGACAAGCTCCTTCCAATCTCCCTTGGTCAGATCCTTGGCCTCAGTGGGATAAAAGAGCAGGGGGTGCTTGGAGTGACCTCTGGACCCAAACAGTTCAGTCCTGTAGTTCAAGACAGCTGTATTTGTATTTTGTCTATTAATTTAAAATTACATATATCCTCCTTCCATCTGCCCCAGGTTAACTGTTTCTAAGTTCCTGTTCCGTGAAAGTGGAGAGATCGGACACTTGTCCTGTCTGAACTGAGCAGCATGTCTTGCTCTAATAACCTGTGGCAACTGCGCTACATTTCCATGGGTTGGTTTCTGTTGCCTGTGTCATCTAAAGAACTGCTGGTGTAAAGGTCCCTTGGTCCTAGCTGGCAGGATGGAAATAGAACATTCAAACGTATTGAAAATAGGAAGCATATAGTCAATTATAATCAGCCTTGCAAGTAGTAATTGTGTAACTTCAGTTTCCCTCTTTGGAGGAAGTAAGATCTAGGTATCTTTGTTTACAAAAATTCCCAGAGTGCCTTTGAGATCAAGCAATACCTATTACATGCTCAAAGGCATCCCCAGCAGGCTTCACCGCTGCTCAGCTTGGGGGCTCTGCAGGGCAGCAATGGAGGTGTTGGGGCAGCAGTGGGGTTTGGCTCTGTGGGTTGAAAGTCAGCTCCCTGGTGAGCCATGGAGACCAAGGGCTGTCAGTGGTCACCCATGTAACTCCTGAGTGGTGGCCAAATGAGAGTACAGCCTCCCTGACTCCTCTGCCTGCTGCGGTGGTTCTGGGCAGAGCGGCCTGGCTTCCCTTCCCCGTGCTCCTCTGGCTGCTTACTGTGACAGCGTGGAACTGCATCAAGACTTGGAGCAGTCTTGCTGAGAGTAAGGATATGGTGTGTCCTCTCCCTTGCTTTCAGCTGGCAGCCTGGGAGCATGCCCTGGGACAAACAAATGCAGCTTTACTTTGGAAGAGGTCCCTGCGCTTCAGCCTGTGGAGCAAGTGGAGAAAACTACAGGAAGAGG